GAAGAAACTGAAACGTAAGTTTTCTTTAGCAATTCGCTGTGTAAATTGTCCAATTTTTTCTTTGCCAGACACGAAACAAAGCTCATAAACTGCTTACTGTTCCTAAGTAACTTAAAGAGGGAATTTTTATTCATTCGTTGATGGGAATAGATTCGAAAGCCAAAATATAGCTGTGTAAGGATGTGAACGAACATCGTTGTTATCTTATGCACAGTTGAGTAAATTAAAATTTAAATGGATGTCATGCAGACCTCCTTTATATGCTTCTTTGGATTTTAATTCTTGTAAGATTTACCATTCCAAAAAGATTGTTTCCATGGGGCTGTTTTTGCCAGTCAATAGGCTGATCCTGATGCTGCTAGCAAAGCATAGGCAACAAAGACAACACACAAAGCTTTTTAATTAAACTGTGCAGGAACCAGGGTAGGTCTAGAAATATCAAAGTAATTTCGTCTGGGCATAAACATTGGATAGGGAAATGACCAGAAAATTGAATTGAGGTTTTAATCCAGACGTTAACGTAATATAAGAGGAAGAATGATGCATTTGATTGGTTTTAAAGCTCCTTCTATCGAAACACTTGGCACCAAAAAATCTTTTTCTTTCACTTTTTTTTGCTTGCCATTCCTGACTTTCAGATTCACACATTCCTGACTTTACAAGATTGCACAGAAATATCATTCGGTTACATAGACTTTGCTGTTCCAAAATGTAAGAAAGAATCCTTTCGCAATATTTGCGTCCCTAGTTCATAGTAGTACCTTCTTCGCTATGTCCTATAGTAAAGACATTTACAACTTTAAGAAAACCTCAAGTCAATTTCACTATTTTCTCTCTTACCCCTTCCGTAGAAGCCCCCTTCTTTACCCTTTCCACAGTATAGTGCAGCAGGGGCATTGCAACCGAACATTTCTAAAAATATCCTTGATAAAGAGCCCCCTTTTCTGCCCCTCCATACCTGTCCCTTCCAGGTTTGAAATGATTCAAACGCCACTGTCCCTTTGAGTGGACCTCACAAATTCTGTGAAATTATCTGCTAAGTTTTCAGACGGAACCAATCAATTTTAACCTTCTTGTCAAGAAGCTTTTTAATTCAAATACAAATATTCGCTTTTTTTGTTGAAAGAGAAATCTAATATGCAAAATCTTAGATCAAGAGCTAATCGCTCAGTTTATGCTAACAGCCTTAGGAAATATAATTAAATGATGTCATAATGTAATATATAGACTGTTCAGTCGATTATATCTGATTAATATTTCTACGTCATTCGCAACTTCCAGTCACTAGAATCCATGTCTCATACACGACCCCCCCCCCTCCCCTCTCCTCTACCCCAGTTTTCATGCTTGACAGGTTGACGAAAAGTGTCTGTATGCTCCCACCATTTTGATAAGACTGTTCCAAATTTTGTTTGATGGATGAAAAAAGTATTCAATGATATTCAATACCAAATTAACGCAAGACATTTGTAAGACGTAATGGTGAATCATCGATATACGAAAAAAGTGAAACATTATCACATTAACCTTTATCTATTACTATAACTATTTCGGTACCAGGCTCCATATTATGGTTTGATTGGTGCCACTTGGTATGATTTATGTCTGTAACGCAGAAACGGCTTTAGTGGGGAGGAGGGATGCGACATCCCCAATTTTTCTGTGTTCTTCGAAAAATTTTGCTTCCATTGGGCAAAAATCATTTTTTAGTAGTCAGTAGTAACAAAACAATGCAAAGATTTCACTTCTATTAAGTAACAAAGCTATTTATCCTCTTATCTTCTTTACCTTAAAGTTAAAAACCGATCACCATAGATCAACAATCACTTCAATCATTCGTAATTATAATATACAGTTCTGCTACAATCATGGTGATATCAACCCACTACCGTAGCTACCATACTATTGGATGTAGAGTCTCGTAAGAGGAGCAGCGATATAGGCATTGGACATTAGAAACATGGCAGTAGGGAGGGCTAAAGCCACCTATTTCTTTCGCGCTTTAGGCTCCATACGGGCAATTGTATCTCAATAAAGCTTCAATATTCGGGGAAGATCCATTCTTAGCTCCCCCCCTTCCCCCCTCAAAATATCAAGCATCCACTACGCCTATGAGCAATGACCAACCAAGAATTAGTTTTTCAATGCAATTTATTTTATAATATTTGTTCCTTTAGTGCAAACATGACGTAGTTGATGTAGACTTGGCAGATGGTTCATCAAATACATTTATTTAAAAGAACCATTTTACTTGCCTTTATGTGTTTACCTTATCAAAATATTATTCAGAGTTGCCATTCCCAGTGACGATCGAATTCTCTGTATACAATTGTTAACAAGTAACTCCAGTAGATCATACCTGTTAAATATCGCCAGATTTAGTTTCTTCGTTATTTTCCAAAGGTTTCTGAAACAAATGAATATCAGGCTTTTTCATACATTTTCAGACTGTAAAATGGAGAAAAAGAGTCTGGTTTTTTCTGTGAAAGCAAAGTGGCTTTATTATTCCCCGCTGTCAAAGGTGGTTTCGAAAAGATCATCCCTCTAGGTGCACTGATCACACGCTGCAAAAGAGAATCGTTATACTAAAATTAAAAAAACTGTTAATTATGAATCAGTCGGTCAAAAGATTCAAATATTCAATTCAACACTGACCCCTTGGAAACCTTGACAAAAATAAGCCGATAAAGAGCTGGTTGGAGAACACATGTTCAGCAGGGTAGATTTTCTAATTATTGTCTTATTTCAATTTTGGAGCACTCTTGCTCTCAAGCGATGTTGTTACTTGGGAACACAACCTCCCGACAGAGGTACCCCTAAAATGCCTCTTTCAATCTAGAATACAAGAAGCTGATTAAGTTCGGGTATCCAAAAGTTGGTTGGATTTTTAAGATTAATCAATACTACAAGAAATTTTTACGACATTAGTGGCTGCTATAACAGAACATTTCTTACACTTGATAGCACTCAACGGTGCTTGCGTTCTAACAGAAATTTCCCCAGGCCCGTAGCCAAGGGGTGGCATGGCAAGAGAAAACCAGTTGTTTGCCACCCCAAGATTGTGTCTGGCGCTCAAAAAATCTTTTGCTGCCAAGCAAAAACCTGGCGCTACTTGGGCGCTTTTCAGAAAATTGCTGAAACAACTGCCTGCTACGCAGTGGTCAGTGCATTTCAAAATCACAAGTTATGTAAACAAGAAATTTTGTGGACAATATTCTATAGAATAGACACCCAATGGAATAATCAGAGCAACATTCAGCAAAGAAGGGCCTTTGTTCCCAAGCACTTTGATGATTTTGTCAGTACCGACAATGATACTGTCAGTGTCAGTGTTTGTTTCCACTAACTCTACCCAACGCCCCCCCCACCCCCACAAAAACTTCACTGTAAACTTCGCCTGCATTGAACACGGGGAGTTTGCCACCCCTACTCCGCAGGCCTGGCTACGGGCTTGATTTTCCTAGCCAATTCCTTTTCATAAAAGTGCCAGCGTTGTCGAATAAACATGACAACACTGAGAAGACGAGTGCCTGCTTTAAAAAATTGTCATTAGGTCGCAAATTCCTCTTGACTCTATTTTAACTAATAGAGTTTTGAATACGATAAATATTTCCATATCGACACGCAGCTGACGATAGTTCAGTTGTTTTTTAGCAGGGTTAGGATCAGCAAAGCGCCGGAGAATAACAGGTAAATGGGCCTCCTGTTCATAGCAGGTACCATATCTAAGCCGTGTTCTTTTTGTTAAGAAAGCAGATGGTCTTCTCTTATAACACAAACAGCAATGCACGTTACATACGCAAGTCTGAACAGCCGGGCAACCACGACACACAGGCTTACCAATGAAAACAGACTCATGGAGCATAGATTTCAGACACATAGTTGCAAATTTTAGATGCGGCAGTTTCTGAGTAGATATCAACAATTTCGCTTTTGCTTTAACATCAGTCTTAGTTCACATTACAATTTTGTCAACAGCATGCCTCTCTTTTCGAAGAAGAAGTTCGACGAGAAGATTACGAAGAAGTTCGACATTCTTGGAGTAATCGGGAGGTAAGTTACGTGTATTATGAATTACTTGACGCGCAAATTCGACATTTTATATTCAATTCTCGAACTGATTCGAACTGCAAATAGAAATAGCGACCAATTGTATGTCATTCCTTTGGTGCATTTTATCATGTGTTCAATGTTCTAGTCTACCCAAACAGCATATAGAAATAATAATCATCTGTGTCATACCTGTAACGCAGTATATGTTTCCAACAAAGTATGTATCCTCAAATCTTCTAAAATTCTTTCATATTCTCAGCAAACTCGCAAAACTACTTTACAAGGTAGGGTAGTTACAGAACATTTTTTTAGTATCTTTCTCGGGTTGGCAGTTATAAAAAATCATATATCTTTTTCTCATAGCTGAGGTTAATGTCCTTTTTGTGAAATTTTGCTATACATTTTCAATCAAGTCTGTTGAAGTTTTTTGAGTCAAAGCTTTCGAAAGGAAAAATCTTAGATTGATTTAGACCCCAACAGCGTATGTCTATCGTGGGAATTTGGACATGAAAAAATCTCATAGATGGCCCTTTTGCAGGTTAACCTCCTGCTAATGTAACAGGTTTCTTTTCTGCGGCACCTCTCTGTCCAAAGCAGTCGACGCAACGCGCACTGAAATAGCAAGACCGAAGTGGAAGAATATATAACAGCATTACCTTGTGATATCTTGCACTTGTGTTTTACGCAATACGGTAAACTGTTGAAAAGGTGCGAAAAATACCTATGATGTAGACAAGAATGCAGCTGCAACCACAAAGCAATCGGAAAATTTGCGAAATTAAAAACAATTTTAAAATCAAGAAGACATGAAGAAAACTCGTGACAGGTGTAATGCTATGAAATGAACAAAAAAGTCGCTCGTGCACAATCTTGTGTAAAACTATGAAGTAAAGAAAGAAATTAAATACTTCTCGTGCCAGCCTCCTTTAAAGCCCCTTTGAGCCCCTTTACACAAGGCCCCTACTTGTGACCTAGACGTCAAGAGACCTTCAATCGCCAGTTATCAGCCCCCATTACATTCCATCACTCCTACTCAACGAACATGCTAATTCGGAGTCGGTACTTTAGTTCTTTACTAGGAGTTGATTCAAAGATTTTCGCCTTCAAGTTTACCCACAATCCCCCAGAAACTTTCACAGGACACACAGTGATAACAGCGATGTTGTAATTGTTGAAGTGTTTATCCTGTATAAATATTCGTTTTATTATTATATTATTTTATTATTATTATTATTATTATATTTTGGCTTGAATGAAAAAATATATCAACCCTAGCATAGCTCCAACTTATTAAAATGATAATTTAACTCGATTCTCTATTAGGCATTAACATTAGAGAGGAAAACTTGACATTAACAGGAAGAGATGTCTGTCTTTCTACAGCAAGCCGCGTTTAGGTTCTTTGGCTCCTCCATAACCCCAGCAGCCCCAAATAGTTTTCCTCTTTTCAAAAATACTTACGTATAGAAAGAATATGAACCATTTGAAGTCTAAAGCCTCCTATTCCCGTTAGTTGTTCTTGCCGAATAATTGTAAATAAAGAATTTGTTAAAAAGATTCTAATTGGAGCACTAATTTACCCGGCAAAGGCCCGCAAAGAAACTGCAATTGACGCTGGAAGCAGCTGTACCCTGAAACCATGCACCCCCTCCCCTTTTTAAAAATGCGAACCTTGAGAGTTGCCTACATTTGGGGGTCAGGGTAGGCAAATACAATACATTTTGACGTCACCAAAAGTTTGACAGCTACATAAAAACAAAAGTATGTTCAATTTTAGTATTCAAAAGGGTGTTGCTCACTGTTCCGAAAATAAAAAGAGCATTGCCAGACCCCAAGTCGTTTCTGCAGGTGCGTTCTTAAAGATTTCTCACCTTTCAAAAGTCTAAAAATAATAATAATAATAATAATAATAATAATAATAATAATAATAATGCTAATAATAATAATGGAAACATTTCATTTTCAATTCAACTTAAACTACAACTACAAATCTCACTATTACAAGGTAATTTGCAATTGGCTAGCTTGGTTTTACAAAAAAAACTATAAAAATCGTAAGGTAAAAGGAAAAACTGAGAAAAAAAAATAAAACAACTAAAGTTAAAAAGGATGTAATTCTGGATTTGTCCATGGCTTATTTTCGCAACAAAATATGTAGTACGTAGTACGGATGGCAATGTTGGAAAATTGAGAGATGAGATGCCGTTTTTGTTGCTGATCGATGGAGAGAGAGTCACACATTTTGAAGAATGAATTGCAGGAATTTCCGAAGATACCAAGAGAGCTCATAGAAAGATTAACAAAGGAGACATATTTGAACTGCCGCTGTAAACCAGATAAGAGAGGAGCATACTTGCTGTGTTTTCTTGTAGCATTTGTGTTAAGATTGGATTCGAAGCCAACAGTTAGCTCTAAAATGTAGAGGTAATTGTTGTTAGTCCTCAAGAGAAGATCAGGGCGAAGGTTTTCTCCAGTTATGATTGATGGTGAAAGATAGCCAGGTATATCAGCGTAGATGGTAGATTCATAATAATAATAATAATAATAATAATCAATTTATTTAAAGTTGGCGCTACATAGCTATTTACAGTGAAACGAGCTATTCCAAGCTAACTGTTAAAACTACTACATCAAATAAATACATACGAGATTAAATACATAAATTTTTAAGTACATAATAATCAATTAAAAACAGATTTTAGAGGGTAGTACTATAAAAATCTGAGCTATTTAAAACGATAGAATTAATAAAAAACCAAGCTGTGGCACGAACGTCCTATATAGTTTGCATGTACAGTCGGTGCCATTCCAGCTTTTAATTTCTTTCTTAAACTCATTAATAGATTGAGCATTCCTTATATGCTGAGGTAAAGAGAGCCAAAGACGCTGCCCTCTATATTTGATAGTTTCGGTTCCATAAATGATTGTTTTTACCCTTGGTACCATAAATTCATTATTATTTCTCAAATTATGAACAGCATGTCGCTCGCAGATAATCTCCCTCATAAAAGGAGGGTTGATATTTCCTTTTGTTTTAAACATTTCAATCATAAGATTTCGCAGGTGCTTTACATGAATATTTACCGAGTCATCATTTTCTAGCAGAGTGTTCAAGCTAGAATCATAGTCTTTGTATGCAATTCTCAGAGCTTTTTCGTGTATTCTATTAATCTTACTATTCAAGTGCCTACTGTGGAACATCCAGACCAGTGGGCAGTATTCAAATTTGCTAATTACAAAAGCTCTCATTAAGATTTTAAGTTTATTAGCGTGCATGTATCCAGATATGCGAGCGAGGGCGGTGAGTTTGCTACCAGACTTTTTACATAACTTACTGATATGTGTCTCTAAACTGAGTCTTTTGTCTTGAGTCTTTAAGTCTTTTGTTTTGATTCTATCACAACCCCTAATAGCTTTTCCTCTTCCGAGTTTTCTATGATAGAATCTCCTACATTAACTATGACCTGCTGATTAGAACTGCTGCCAAGAATAAGTAAATGACATTTGTTTGTATTCAACTTCATAGAGTTATCAGCGAACCATTGGATAGTTATACTTGAGTCATTCTCTAGCCTTGCAATTACATAATTGAGATTTTTATCGCACGCATATAGAGTTATATCATCCGCGTAATTGCAGATATCCGTATCCATTAAGTAGAGAAGTAAGTCATTCATGTAGATGTTAAAGAAGAGGAGACCAAGAACTTATCCTTGCGGAACACCAAGGAACAGTTGTTTGTAGGTACTGAATGATCCATCAATCTTAACTCTCTGATGCCTATTTTCCAAGTAGCTGTTAACAAGACACAGTGCTTCATGGCTGAACCTGTAAGCATTTAGTTTTGCTATAAGGAGGTCATGTTTAATACAATCGAAGGCTTTCGAGAGGTCCATTAGGATTGCGCCAACATTTTCTGCCAAATCTGTACACAATACGCTAGCCATTTGGAGTGAGAACGCTGGCATTGCCAATTGTCCTCAAGTGGTTTTATACCGCACCTCCTTCGTAATTTTCCTCCCTAACTTTTACTTCATTTGCCTTTCTGAGTCTTTAGTGCCAAGGGTAGTGTTCTTGGCCCAATAATCTCTCACTAAAGGAGTGAAGAGGTTCCTAATAATACTTGAAATGTGATCTGACCTGAATCTAGAGAATGGTTGGAAACTGGAGAAAAGACTTCCAGGCAATCGACAGATACTGAAATGACTTAAGCCATCTGTCAATCAGTATTACCCAATCAAAAACCGTGTTAGTGGAATCACACTCGCTGATTGGTCAATTCTTGATTCAAAGATGGATAAAGCCCCTTTTGTATCGATGGCTTTTAGTCTACGTTTGCCAAACCATAAGGTGTTTGTTGCATCAACTAATAAAAGTTCTGAAAACGTGTTTTTGTTGCTTGTAACAAAAATCTAATATCTTTAGCACCTGCAGACCTGCGATTTTCGTGGCATGTAAACATCAATTCTAGTCACTTGCCAAAACTTTTCAGTGCTTGCTGATATGTATATTAATTGCCTAAAACCACTAAATGCAAGTTTCTATTTACATTCGGAAATTTGTATACGTCACAAACTGAGATAATCGAAAAAGCCCATTAAATACAGCTGTTCTAGTGCATTATCAGCACTTTCAATCTTCCTACATCATGTTTAATTTAATAGGACGACAGGATACATGAAGAGAATTTTTTCTAAATTATCTGCTATCATCTGCTACTACTTTGATCTTTCGAAACGAGCAGTAAATCGTTTGAAAGTCAAATGAACGAACTCAAGCTGGCTGCATGATGAAAAATTATGCTCATTTTGACAGGAAACAAGAACAAATTATCTTTAAGACATTGTCATATCATGCAAAAGCATGAGACTCTAAAACGCAACTGCGAATCTCGTCGCGAGATATAAGTTTCCTTTCAAATAGTGAGTTGGCTGTTGAATGATATACAATTTATATATAAATATCACACAAAAAGAAAAGCTTATCTATTAATCATTTTTGAATTCATCTACTTGCAACTACTAGGCTTGGTTTTAATTGTATCTCTTAGCAAAATAGTTATACTCGAAAGATTAAGTGTATCTTACTATAGTTTAAATACTTGTACTGTAATCACCTATATATCCTTCGATAATAATCATTATAAACTGGATTTTGCGGTTTGTCCAGTTGGCTAGGACTGCTACTGGGTTGCTCAAATCTCCTTTTTTTCTCCAACCCATGACGTAGAAACGCTGAAAAACGTTAATTGGAAAGTCGACGAGGTTATCATCAGCCCGTTAAATTTTTGCTGTGTTGCTCTTTAAACCTCTTTTAAAGTAACCACAGGCACCTTTAATAGTTTGTCAGTATTCAGATGTATGTTGATTTATCGCTGTGTTTTTGTCTTCTGTGATTGCATCCTAGTTTAGCCCTAGAATGATTAAGCAATGTGATTAAGCAATCAAGCAATCGCCCAGTCACATTCAGTCATCCAATCAATCGATTAATGCGTTTTTGCAATACTAACACATCTTTTTCGATGGTGTCTTTAGTAACGGACAAATCCAAGTTACAGGCACCTCCCAGTCACGGCCACCATGCTGAGTCTAGTGTTGGTTGTCCTCTGTTCAACTAATCTTGGCTTTCAATGAATTCATCTTACATAAGAATACTTCCGAATTGTAGTCACAATCTGAATAATAGTGACGACCCGAAGGACTATTGGGGACATTCACTTCTTAATCTTTATTCAAAATAAAAATAAACAAATTTGATCTTTCCACTTTCGCTTCCTAATTTTTCTCCTTTTCCCTTGTTAGGGCCTAGCCTAGCCTGTATGTTATCTAGAATGTCACATTTAAATAAAAATTTTTGGGAGACAAGAGGAGTTTCCTCCGGAAGAAAATGATTCAAACAGGGGAAAAAAGGCTTGGTCCAAAAGTCCGTTGTCAAAAAAGGGCTGGGTCCCGGACACAGCTTTTGTCCCTCCCCCCCCCTACTTATCCCAGGCTGGAACTGCCACTGGCTGCCTAGTAATAGGCTCATGGGTCTTTCCCGAACATCATAAACTAAACAAGATTATTTCATCATAAAATTTTATAATTCAAAACAACTTTTTTTGTTCCTGAAAATCATGCTTTGTAAATATTTGCTAAGCAGGAAAAAAGCAAAAACCTTTGCAGTATACATTTTCATTGGAATATCACGGCACTGAAAAGATGCAAGAGTAGGGCAATTCTGTGAAGGAGTCGTTAAAGACTTTTGCCTTGGGGGCTTCACCTCGGACCTTAGTTTTATCCCCACGTAAAGAAAACTGGTGCTATCATTGGTAACATAAACGAATTAATGTCTTTAAATATTTGACTTAATTTTTTTCATCCTTTCTATTTCTAGCGGCGCATTCTCTGATGTCCACATATGTCGCGAGAAAGTCAGTGGAAAGGAATATGCAGTTAAATGCATCAAAAGAAAGGAAATCGAGGGCAGAGAAGACGCACTTGAAAACGAGATTGAAATACACAAAAAGTGAGCATATTATAAGTATACATTTACTTACCTTTATGTATTATTTTATGGCATCATAATCAGGCTGGAAATCGCACATAAAGAGCGATTGAATTACATTTGCAAAAGAAATCATGTTATGCAGCATTGCATTTAAATCTATAACTTTCTTCTTTATCATATGTTACTGCGAAAAACTATATTTAAAAACTTATTCTTTTCAGCTTGTAAGAGGGGAGGGACTGTTAAAATGCTGCCAACCTTTACAGCTGTTGTATAAAAAATCCATAAACTGTGTTGCTAGAGTAACTATTAACCATTCACTCATAGAAAAAGCCAATCTTTTAAATATTTTTTTTCACATTTATGCTGTCTTGCCTCGTGCGACTCAAACTGCAAATTGTCATTGCTTTATACAAAAAATGTTATATTCCTTTTTTTTAAAATTGTGAAAGCTGTTGGACTCATACGTTGACCCAACATTTTCTTTTATTATATTCTCCATAGTGAGCCTTTAAATATTGCAAATCAGTTAAATAGTTAGATAAAACATAACCTGCGTCACAGACCATCACCACCAAGGAGGAGAGTGGTGGTGGTTTTCTCAAACACGGCTAAGCTATTGAGAATGAAAGCAGGCTAGGTAAAACATGGCTAATAAAAGATTGGAAGATTGCTAACGAATCCTTCGCTCATTAAGTAAAGAACAGAAACCAAACCAGTGGCGGATTTAAGGGGGGCAGCAAGGGGCAGTTGTCCCTCCCTCAACTAGCTGAAGCAAGTCTGGCGCCCCTTTTTGGAATTGTACGCCCCTTTTGAAGAATGAAAATCAGATGAAAAAGATTCTGAGACCGATAGGTTAATTTGCTTCAAGGATTACCTCAATGTTGTTTATTCCGAAAATGTATCTGAAATTGCTGTATACAGCGTACTCTCGTCACCAATTTTTGAAATTTTTCAGCGCCCCCACTACCAACTGCCCCTCCTTCAAATTTGCTCTAATTCCGCCCCTGGATCAAACCACAGTGATTTTACGAGAAAAGAACCTGTGCTTAAATAGCTATATCTTAGACAATTACTAACACATTTAGCTGACTTCTAGCTTTATCCTGTTGCATATGACACTTTTGGCTCTCCTGCGCAATGGAAAGTAAAGTCTGCACGCAGGCTAGCTGACGTCGCTCATTTAAAGATATTTCATGATGCTCTTCAGGTTATGTGATTCAAAGTAACGGGCGACGTCATCACTTTAGAACACTGCTCATTTTCTGGTTTAAAGCCTCTCTAGGCCAAGATAGATGTTTTTTGTTTATCGGTTTATGGTTGATACCTAAACTGCACTTCGTGCCAAGCCCTAAGCAAAAACTTCACGTCAATCAAAGAGCTAAAAATACAAAGACATTTGCGTTTTTTTCTAATGATCACTGTTAAAATTTTACGAACTGAGCTTACCATGGTAGCATTGCTAAATTTGCGAGATTTTCGAACTGGCTTGCACCTGGTCGTCTAAAAAACAGAAAAGCCTATGGCTGACACGGACGATCTAAGGTTAATTTGATGAAAATTCCCAGCACATTAGCAAACAAGTCTAACTTTTTAGTTAAAATTCGCGATAAGCTACTTGTTAATTATGCAAGCCTTTGATGATATTAGATATTGTTGATGAAAATACTGAGAGCAACTCGTTTTTTACAAAATTGAACATCAACAGCGGGAATTCATAAAAGTTTTGTTGTGAGAACCATTTTTGGTAGATGCTGCTGGCCTTTTCTTAAAGGGCCTCTCCAGCCAAAATTCGCAATTGCATTTATTGACTAATCTAAAGGACTCGAACCCGCTGATCACGAATTTATTATTGGCTTTTCAAAATTTCCCATAGTTTGTGAGATATAGTAGTAGTAGTAGTAGTAGTTGTCCTTTAGGTCGTTCGACCCCTGGTGATGTTATGAACCTGACGTCTCCATTCAGCTCTATTTTTAGTGCCTTTGTTGAGCTGATAAATATTTCTTGTTGTCATCGTCTTAATGTTGTCAAACCACTTTGTTGCAGGTCTTCCTCTACCTCTTTTCCCTTCAATTTTTCCTTGCATTATCAGTTTTTCTAAACTGTTGTCTGCTCTATTTATGTGGCCATAATAGGTTAATTGCCTCTTTCTGATGGTGTTGAATAATGATCTTTCTGTTTTTATTTGGCCTAGTACCCATTCATTCGTTCTTCTAGATGTCCACGGCACCCTTAGGAGTCTTCTCCATACCCAAAGTTCAAAGGCTTCAATCTTTTTCATTTCTGCTTTTCTTATTACCCATGTCTCACTTCCATATGTAACAACAGGAAATACTAATGCTTCGATTATTCTTATCTTGGTATTTAGTGTGATGTTTTTGTCTTTCATTATCGTTGTCAAATTGGTCATAGCCTTCCTACCCAGCATTAGCCTCCTTCTAATTACTTTTGTGTGATCAGAGGTTCTGGTTAATGTACAGCCAAGAACATTGAATTCCTGTACTACCTCGATGGATTCCGCATCTACTTCAAAGTTGGTAATTTCTGCCGTCGTCATTACTTTTGTTTTTTTTAAATTTAGTAGTAGCCCTTTTTCCTTGCTTGCTTTCTTAACATTTCTAATAAGTTCTTCCAGATCTTCTTTGGTTTCGGCAATCAGGGTCGTGATATCTGCATACCTTAAGTTATTAATGAGTCTACCATTTACTTTTATTCCGATGTTGTTTTCATATAGTCCTGCATTTCTCATAATAATTTCACCATATAAATTAAATAGGTATGGAGATAGAATACAGCCTTGTCTCACTCCTTTGCTGATTTCAAACCAATCTGTTGGCCCATACATTGTTCGTACATGCGCTTCTTGTTTATGGTAAAGATTCTTAATCAAGATTATTAGATGTTCTGGAATTCCCATCTTTCTCATCACAAACCACATAGTGTTATGGTCCACACAGTCAAATGCTTTGCTGTAATTTGTGAGATATAAGCTCTTGCATTTCGACAATTGAATTGAGTTAACTGTCAAAAATTTTCGGTTAAGGTCCTGTTAAGGTGCCGCAAACATATCGATTTTTTCCCCAACAACGTCGTTTGGACGTTTTAGGGAGAGGGCTTTTTCTCAAGACATTTTCAAATTGAGATTTTACATCGAAAAATGGTTTCATAAGAATAAATCACAACCTGTAAAATCTGAACGTTGTCTTTGTTGACTGTCTCTCACTGTCAATATGAACTTTCTAATATGGTCGGATCTTAAACTCTTTGCTAAAGGTTGGCCAACAAAAAAGAGACACTCCGACCATAACATAAGAATTTTTTCTAATTCAACTCAACAATGATGTGAAATCAACTTGCAATTGAACTCAACATTGCCCGTTGTTTTCCTTCTCATTCAATACACTGTTATAAAGAAAACATACCACAGGTTGGCAATTATTGGGGGGCTCCCGCCCCCATCCCCAGCCCCCTGGCTCTGATGGGCCTGATAATTTATAAATTTTTACATTGGAAGAAAACGTATTGCGCAGAATAAAGTAATCGTTGGTTCGGCTCTTCAATCCAGCTCAGGTTTCTCATTTGGCCCTTTGTAAAAATGAATTGCCCGCCCCTGATCTAAAGAATGTCTAATTGTATCTTTGAGCACAAATGTATGCCCGTCTTTCTGGATTCTTAAATGCTTGACCCTAGCAAAAGATCATCCATGATGTCCCTCTACTTTGGACGCATAGTAGGAACTTGATGTGATTCACGTTTCGTGTGCATAACGATTCCAAGCTTACCTTTTATCAATGTTAATTTTAGAATCAAACATCCAAATGTTGTGGAGCTGGTGCAATTATATGACAACAAAGATGCTCTTTTCATAATAATGGAATTGTAAGTACTCACATTATTCATTACACTTATAGCTTAAAGATGGATATATTTCTTTGTGGTGTTGAAATTTTGAGAAATTTGAGAATTATCCAAGAATAATAATCAGTTTTTAATTTAATTGAAAGTTTTACTTTTCTCTTTTTGTGCATTTTGCAAGTGTGTCATACAGGCAAAATGTTGGAGGAACAACCGCGAAGAATGTGTTGTTCTGGCATGCATCGACCAGAATTACAACTATTTAGGAATGTCGAGACTCAGCAAAAAGTTTAAGCATTTTCTCTGCTTCTCGTTTCCTCGTTTCCCTTTACATTACGTTTATGGGTATAAAGAACAGACTAATAAGAAATAAAAATGTAAGCAAAAATAACTTCTTATCTTTTGTTAAACGATGTTTCCACTAAAGCAGCCTCTTTACTATTGTAGGGTCTCTGGTGGGGAACTTTTTGACAGAATTGTCGAAAAGGGAAGTTATACTGAACAAGATGCAAGCGGTATCATAAAGCAAGTTCTAGAAGGCGTCTTCTATTTGCATTCAATTGATATTGTTCACAGGGATCTAAAGGTACGAGGCATCATCATAATCAATGCTGCATTCTGTACTTATACTTCATTTCTGTGGGTTCAGTTTTGTTTAGTATTAAAATTTTGAAATTCCTCTGCGTACAATATCTTATTATAACTGTAACTGCATAGAACGACTACATGTTACGTAAACAAACTTATGCAAACAGACAATAATTCAAAATTACGCAAGGTGTTGCTTGCGGAAGAGATTCTTTGGAGGAGCCCTCTCAATAGATGAACTAATCGAGGAAAGATCATTCTATTGACCTTTTTTTCAACAGTGTTTGAGCTGCCACTTCTTCTAGTATCTGCAATTAAATGATAATTTTCTTTCCTAAGCCAGTAGTTGTTTGAGCAAAAATTAAAATTCCAATAAATTAAATGTAAGGAATCTCTAGAATAGAAATTTCGCAAAGCTAGAGATGACACTTGCAAACACTTTAAAGACAATCTGATGGCCACAACAATATTTCAATTTTTTCATTAGTTCAGAAAGATTAGAAAATTGCTATGTCATTTGAATTTTAAAAGCCAAAACCTTCTTAAATGCAATTTTAGAATATGTAAAATTGACCTGTCTGTTGTTGAGAAAAAGGTTTTTTAGGTAAGAATTCATTCCAGTACGTCTTTTAATCACAGCAGAAAAGTATTGTTTATCTAAATTAGGCCTTGAAGGCAATTGTTAATGTGTTTATATAGCTTGCAGTTGCAAACAAAACTGCTGATGAAATGCTGACAAGAATTAAGAAGCTCTGTCATTTGACTGGCTTACCAAGCTGTTTTAGGGCTTAATTACATACATAGGACTTTTTCCAATAAGCTCAGATTTCGGCCCTCTAACCTGAGATGAACATGTTTATGACTTTACGGCTGTACTCACTTTAGGGTTGAAAACATTTAAATCAATTATGTCTAGGTTTGACTTTAAGGTTAAAAATTTCATCTCGTTGGAACAAAGAGTGCTTAAATTAATTTATTCTTATTGTTTCAATTATTGACTTCAGGCAATTCCATAATGTAATTTTGTGTCATTTGAATTTAGAAATCTGAGATATAAGGCGTATAATTGGAAAATATGCGTTTCTTGAAAATATTTATTAAGTTTTTAAATTTATTACTTAACTTGGACAATTCTCAAACTAGCTAGGTTAATGAGAAACAACGGAAATCGAGATAATTTTATTAATCAGCCGCTTATTCAATTTTCAAGATAATCTGCTTTGCATCATTTTGCTCGAATCAAATCATCAAATTTAAACCAAAAGCAGCCGATGTCGATCAGATCAATAAATTTACTTTCCTTTTATGACATATCACCTGTATTCGTTGATTTCCTAACATCAATGTATATTTTCTTTTCAGCCAGAGAATCTTCTTTTCCACGAGTAAGTAACATCCATCTTTTCTAAATGTTACAATCTTTAGGATGCAAATGTCAATAGATGTTAAAATAGCCTTACTGTATTCAACAGTATTTCTACTCTATCTTTATACTTACTTCGACACCTTCCTTTTCTCAGGGGTTATTCTAATCGATTCTAACGTGATTTTGTTGCCATTTTTGTGGTATTGGGAATCCTATTTGCGGTGTTATGATTACAATTTTGTGTTGTGATCAAGAAAAATGCTTAACGTTGAAGAAGAATTATAGTAGATAGTCAATAGTCAATCAGTCCTCAATCTAAAACACTTGAGCTTTTGATTTAGCTGTTTACCTTCTTTTCATCCTTGTCAGGTAAAATCACACCACCTTCTATTTCCTGTAAATATTCTCTGTCTCCAGTGCCAATGCCAACAATGAAGTCAAACGAAAGACTTTTGTCTTTAGAGCAGTGGTTCTCGTTCTACCGTTGTTTAGGTCTTTTAATTCAGTAAAATTTTAACGCTTTTAAAGATTACCAGAACTTTAATTTGGGTGTTGCAAATCTTTTTTAGAATAACTCCTACATTTACTTATCTGTATTGGATTTCATTTATAATTCTCTTTTTCTATTATCACCACCAGCTCAAGTGAAAATGCAAGGATAATGATAACAGATTTTGGGTTGGCTAAGAACACAGATGAAGGCCCTATAAACACTGCTTGTGGAACACCGGGCTATGTTGGTTAGTGTCTTTCAACCAATGGTTTGAATGAATTATACAAATAAGCTTTTGATGCATTGTAATATTACACCCGAATGCTGCTGGAAACAGAACAGTTATTAAAGAGACTTTTGTCGTTCAGAGTGAAATGATTGGTCAAATGGGACTGGGGGGTTCTTTACAAAAATGTTGGCTTTTCAGAAGGGCGTTCCCTGCCAAATTTTTGCAGCTTCCTAATGAGTGTTTTGAGAACACGATTACTGGCGTTATTCTTGCAATAATGATGTTGAATTTACGTCTGTTCAATCATTCAGTGAAACTCGACTTAGCCTTATTCATTTTTATTTGTGTATTACAGGAAATAAGTATAAAAGACACATTAATCTACAGAATAAATCATGATTTAGACACTTTAATCTATGATTTTGAAACTGCTTTTATGTAACCAAAAGATAAACATATGCGTTAAACATACAAACATACATAGAGATGCATAGATAAAGATAAACATACAAAGTCAAAAGGACAGTAAAAAGGACGCGCTTTTTTATTTTGCCACCCCCTTCCTACAGCCTAGTACCGCCTCTGATTTTGGTATTTGCTTTTTTCTATTCAGCTCCCGAGGTGCTTCTTCAAAAGCAGTACGGGAAACCAGTAGACTGTTGGGCCATTGGAGTAATTACATATATACTGTAAGTTTTTTGGCATCACCATAGCCTTCGTTCGTCTGTGAATAGTTTTAAGACCTGACTACTTTCACCTTCTTTATGCTTTTGAGCAGTCCGTTACGATAACATAAAAAAAATTCTGGCCGTACAAAATCACACATTAGCAGCAAAAGGATTGATTTGAAAGACTTGCTGACTCCAATCTTTTTGGATCAGAACGCAAAAACATTGTTTTGTGAAACATGCTTCTTTGCTTTACTAATGATTGCAAAATTTTTATTCCCTTTTTTGTCTGAAACAAGAAGAATCTCGCTACATAAGTACCATTTTTGTATATTATTACCAAAATAATATTGAAGTATAAGCTGTTTTTTCCCTCCTCAATTAAACATTCTTTGCAATAAGCCATGCTATTAGAATATGTAGCCCCACTTTAATCTACAAGTTAGGGCATTATTCTTATATTTATTTAGTTAGATACTGATGTGTTTTAGAACACCAAAAATGCTTAGTGTTTGGTGTTATTGTCATACCATTATCAGTAAATTTAACACAAAAACATAACTAAAAAGTTTTGTATTAACTTCATTGTTGGTTTCTTTGAAGTGACGAACGAATGTTCTTTCAAAAGACTTGTGTCCTTTTAGGTTGTGTGGATACCCGCCATTCTATGACGATGATGATTCACAACTTTACCAGCAAATTATTCGAGCTGAATATGAGTTTGATTCACCTTATTGGTACGTTTATCAAAATCAAATACTTAAAACTGTCTATGTTCATGTCCATTCATTTTCCAAATCCACCTCATACAATCAACATCAGCTATTATATTAAATTTACAAAATAAAGCTTTTACAACGAAGAAATTTCGAACATAGTACATCGATTCTCAAAACAGACTTCATTCAGTATCTCATTGCCGAATTAGGTACATTAATTTTAGTAGGATGCTGTTTTTTATGATAATGCTAAAACTGAAAAACCTACTGGTTTTAGGTTTGTTCTTACAATGCTTGCATTTTCAGAACACTTGCCAAAGGGTTAACTATCTCATAACTGTCCTGAACTTTGCTTTCGCTGGTACCTTTCACCTCTAAAGCTCTCAAATATTAAACAAACTTAAACTAAGAGAATTTATGTGAATCTGTAATGTACATCGTCGATCTCTAAGTTGAAAGATTTACAATCCCTTCTCACTGGGTATTTGCTGATGTTTCTTTCTTTTATTTTGCTTGTGTTCCTGATCTTACTTTATTTTCATGGTTCTCAGTACTTTTGAGTTTTTTGAAACATAGCTTGACAAAGGCCTTCTTTTCTGCACCTACAACTTGAGGTCAATGATACTTAATTGAATTTTTCACTGTATGGAGAAATTTCTCATAATCTTCCTAGTTTGATGCACATTTATTTTTACCAACAGGGATGAGATATCGACTTCCGGTAAGTAACATCGTTACGTAATTGAGATATGGACAGCGCAATGATATTTTGTATACATGTTGATTAAGATTTTTCTTTATAGAAACGAATTCACAAGTAACATAATTTGGTCTCTATTCGGTTTATGAGGCAATTGCTGCTGTTGTTGTTAGCAAGGAGCTTGATCTGTTTTGACCTTTCTTTATTGTTTAAATCTCGCTTGAACTATGTCAAAAACTTTTAGTGTCGAAGCTTTTTCACTTGATTTTAGTATTTTGCTTTTCTTCATAATGCAGTTTCTATGGCTTATCAAGTTTCTGGAATAAAACTATTGGTTAGCCTTTTGTCTTGGTCGTTGAAAGTTCTTTCTCAAAAATGAAAACTCTAGTCTTTTATCTATGTGATATCCTTGTACTAATGCGAAGAAAAATCTCAAGAGAAAGGCCATTCCCCTACAACATAGAATACAGGCTCATCAAGTTCCCGCTATATGGGCACTTTGCTGTTATGAAAATATGGACTGAAAATCCTTCTGGGGAAAATTCCTTCTCTGGGATGGGCTGGGCGGCAACATATTTGATTAAAAAAGTAAAAATTTCACCACCTTCCTGTGCCATCTTCAAGAGATCCTATTGTTTTCATTTCATTTAATGCCACATTGTTTTTATTCTTAGCCAAAAAGTTTGTGCGAAATCTTATGAATCCAGATCAAGAAGCACGATATACATGTCAACAAGCTTTGCACGACCCATGGTAATAATCTTCTAGTTTATCCAATTATCTATACTTCCATGTGTCAGTCTTACAACATATGTTCATGTTTATATCTTATTCATAGTATATGGTTGGATCTAATACGATTTCGTGTTCTTCTAAGGGGGTTGGCCTTCAAAATAAACTGATTCTTAAGGAGTCCTCCCAAAATATCTTTAATTACAATCTGTAATAAGAAAATTAGGGATATATTAACCCTGTTGTAGAACCAAATGACATCAGAGTTGACAATTAAGAAAAAGTAATTGCCGTTCCTTCAAAGCACTTTTGAATCCATCCAGAATAGATGCCTGCTTTGAGTCGGCTGAAAGGCTACTCCAGAATTTTGCACCTCTATAAGAAAATCATCTCAGGTCATATTTCACGTTTTGCATTCAATATTTCTCTAAAAATTCGAAAGTATTTAGCAGGACATGACAAAAAGTATAGCTTTTTGCAAGTAGCAGTTAAATCGAGTTTCTTTTTCAACCAACCTTGTAGATATATTTTGATCATAACTTGAACTGCTTTGTTTTCCTGCTGTTGCATTGCAGGTAATCATCCTGACATATTCTTGCACTTAATTGAATAAAATAGCGGTTTTGAACCTACGTGTCTGGTTTTTTTAATAATCTCTATGAGAAAATTCAATATTACTTCATCATTATTTCTTATCTTTAATATCAAATATAACAGGTTTTCTTCTAGCGTAGGCCAATAGGGTCAGAATAATGTTGTGAGCTATTCTTATTCATAATGATGAATATAACATTAATGAACTGTCTTTTTCTGTATGAGCTTGAAACCAAATTTTAATTTCTGGTTATTTTCATCAATGTTATTTTATTTTATCACAGCTAATCAATTATCACTTCTTAAAACGGCTGTATTTTAACTCCTTATTTAAATTGTTTATTTTTAACATTGTATTTCTTTTGTACAGGATTTCTGGTGGCCTAGCTTCAGACAAAGATATTCTTGTGTCTGTTGCTGAGCAAATGAGAAAAAACTTCGTGAAAAGAAAATGGAAAGTAAGATTATGCCTTTAAGAATGTACTTTTTCCTTCTTTATTCTCAACCAAGTTCGAAACAATGTTACTTTCTATACGAGTAGCTTCTCGTTTTAGAATTTGTTATCAGTTACTGTTAATATACTCCTTGTCTTTTATCTGTTTAACAGTGAATGGCTTAAACCATATGATTATTTGACCGAATCGAATGGAAAATTTCTAAACTCATTTTAGCTTACTTCTCATTCTACAAATTCATCTAGTTTAGAATTAGCAGGAATTCTCATCCGAATGGCTCCTAGATTTGCTTATCAATACAGTCTTTCAACTGAGGACTGTTGCTTGTATGAAGGGACTTCAGCAGAAAATCAAATGTGTCTGTAGAAAAGGAGTCTATTGCCTTAAGCAAATGAATGCAGGGCCCGCACCACTGACCCTAGACTGGAAAGGCCAGCAATATAAAGAAAGTTTCCTCTTACCATCTCTTGCCCCAATTGTGGCAAAAGACTTACTGGAACCTTTTTACTAATTGGCTTTGGTTCAATGTATTTGCTATAATTAACAGATTTATCTATCTAAAATAATTTGAGCTGATTTTAATCTTTAATTTCACAAAAAAGTGGGAAGGTCATGGCCCTCCTGGCTTCCCCTGACACAGGCCCTAAAATTTAATCGAGGATTGAGGGGTTTTACTCATCGATAATTGAGGAATTAGTATATTAGAAAGAAGAACTGAGCAATATCCTTTACTTTGGTAGTTGTGAGACTTTGTAGCCGAATACTATGCTTCTTGTATTCTTTTATTGATCACTGATAGCATTTAATGCTACATATGTTCATTTTTAGCAAGCATTTAATGCAACGACTGCAATAAGAAGAATGAAGTCACTCACTCTCTCCTGAAGCATGGTTGAGTACATTTTTGTTTAAAAGCAGTTTTAAGAAACTTTTTTTTTAATCCTTGGGTAACAATTCACATCATACGTAGTAGATTTTTAAGTCGAAATTTATTGCTTATCATATATTAATGTCCAATTTTTTATTTCAAATAAAGCTTTATTTACTTTTAACCAATAACCTAGCTTTTGACTTGCATTTAATTCAGGTAGCGTCTAACATCGTTAATGCAACTTTTCGTTCAACACCTACTGCTCTTCTTCACTTTTGTTCTGCTCTTCTTACACTTTTTGCACACTTGTAAAATGTCATGTCTCGTACACTTTTCTAAGTTATCTAGAAATGCTAGCAACAAGAAACACTTTTGAAATCTATAGTTTCTGCTGCTCTCTTACAGTTAGGCAAACTCCTGTTGATGGTATTCCTAGGACAGTTTTTTGAGCCACTACTTGATCTATTATTTTTAATTTAAGGCTCTCTTTTTAACTTGAAAACATGCTAAAAAAAACGAGCTATTTCGTACAGTACAGTTAGTTTATTCGCAATCAATTTTTATTAGACAACTCATGGCTATTAGACTTTAAAAACAGACGTCGTGTTCTGATATCCGAGGGAGAGAGGGCTTTAAAAATGGGTTTTCAGCTAGTAATTACATTCCTTAATAACTGTATTGACTTCTTATAAGAGTTGTCCAAATTTACCCAATTCTACGTGCATGAATTTGGAAAAGTTTAACGATATTCTTCACGGTAGCCTTCTTTTCATGTGGTTTTTGAGTTCAAAATCCAATCCAGTCATTACAGCTATTAGTTCATGAAGTAATCAACAATGATAGTTTAAAACTATGGGGGTATCTGATGCTGGAGGGGCTGGACCATAGCAAAGCTAGCTATGTTATAAACAGTGGCTACAATTAATAGCGATACGAGCTTGAAGTTATCAGAAAAATGATTTCCTTGCCAAACACGCTGTTTCGTGAAAAGGTGCTTGGGTAATTGTGACTGCAGTTGTGTTATTTCTGCTGTGTCTTTGGGTGCTGGAGTACTTGATGCAAACTTATGATACGGATGGAATTGAACTGCTTCTATAACTAAGAACTTTGAAACATTCTGGCTACAGCAGACACCCTTTTGTCTTTATATGATGTAAAGGACTAGATATAAGCCTAGACATCTGTAGTTGCTGATTCCAGTGGAGAAGATTCAAGTCTACACACCAGCTACCGATAGATTGTTTTCCTTTGTGGGCCTATGATTGATTTTGCCTGTCGGTTAGATGTTTTTCAGCTTAATTATGGTTTTTGGACTCCAGTACTCTAGATCCGTTAGCCTACCCTTTCTAAAGGACTCCAATGGTCTAGTCAAGTCATCGTTTTTGATGAAAGTGGACCAATCAGGGGTGTTGCCAAAGGAGGGGGGGTACAGGGAGATCCTGTTTGCTAATACTGAGGTGTTTCTTTCCAGAAACGCCGGAGGAGATGCAGGGGAGGGGTGGGGAAGTGGCTTGTGTTACAAAGACTATTTGTAGTCTGGGGGTCAGGCTAAGGGGAAGTAGGCAAAGCACAAAGAAAAAGGGCAAAGCAATACTAAGTTGCTTTTGCAAGGGCAGGAGGATAACGGTCTCTTTTTCCTTGCGCTGGCGTCCCTGCTTTATTTGCTTGAAACATCTGGTGTTTGTATAGTCTTTTCACTTTTAGAAAATGTAAATAGTTTATAGGTACGTGTTACAATAAAAGCTGTTGTAGTTTAGTTTTTATTTTAAAGCAAAGAATTTTAACAAATCTTATGTATCCAGTAATTTGTAGCAGTGCTTGGTGCTATTAGGTATCTTGGAATTAAAGGATTATTCAAAGTCGTGTTGAAATTTTGCAAAAGTTGATAACCGAACATAAACTTTGTTCTCTCTTTGGATCTAAACCATATTCACGCGGCTGTTACGTTCTAAAATGCTGCTATACCCCTTTGCAAAAGCAAAAATATTTACTTAATCCAAAAAACAAATGCTTATATTGAAGGGTCTATTGTGCATTTGTTGACCTGTAACCCCTTGCAACTCAGAAGGCCTGGATGTATTTATAGCCTGAATATATAGATGAAGATCTTAGGAAAAAACTCACAGAATGTTGATAAAGTGCCAGCTACTTTGACAATCATCAAGGGTGGTTCTACCAAAAGGGTTTCTTTCGAGCCACCTTTTGATGGTTGCGGTTATGTGGTGTGTTTTAAAGGGGGCAAGTGGTTTTTGACCTGGTATGAACCCTATTGTTGGGTCATGGCAAGGTTTGTCATGACCCAATAATGCTTTCTGCTTCCACGTTATGCCTTAGCTGAGTCCCGTCTTTTGCCTTTTTTTGGAAATCACCCTTAATTCTACCTTATCTTATAAGGCCATACCCATTTCCCCTTCATGGATGATAATAATGGCTAGATCTTCAAAATTGGTGTGGGAGACAAACGAGCTGGAAAGGCCACAGCCCCCTTAATCAGACGAAAATAATCTGATTTCAAGCTCCATAAGGGCAGTTCTATCTCAATGAAGCAACAATATTCAGACAAGTTCCATTCTAAGCCCCCTAAACGTTAAGCATCCGCTATACCCATGATCTTCAACAATTTACGCAAAAATTTATAACATAGATGTTTCACATTATGAATATTTGAATAAGGTGCACTTTGCGCCAGACCTGAAATGCAAATCCTATTGCTAAAGGTCGAAGGAGAGAACAAGGTCTAAAACTTTTCCTTAGGGTTTCAATACTTGATCGTTAAAGTTAGCACTACTTAGATTTTGTCAACATGCAATTAGCATAGCTCAACCTATTGATATGTCGCAATGTGTTACATGTATTACCTAGAAGTAGCATAGACCTTTTTCATTCAGTTTCTAGATTCATAATCGTTTTACTTTAATTACTTAACGAAAATGCTTATATACCATCCAAGATTATCGCAACTCGTTTATTTATCAAAGTTTCGTGGTATGAAGCTTTTTCGCATTCAAAACGTATTTGGTGGATAGAAGTGCCTGTTATTCTTTCTGTATTTCTTCTAGTGCAGTTTAAGTATCATTTGTACTCATATAAGGTTTATGCAATAAATGGCAGCGCCATGGAGGGAGTGATTGTCAGGAGTGTAGTGCTAGAGGGCTCAGGGGAGCTGAGCCTCCTTGTTTAAGCTGAAAATTGGCAAAATTTCTACTTTTGCTATTGTTTTTCGCAAAATTTTGTGCAAGAGTTATGTTGATAGCATTACACCACTGGTACTGGGGGATACGACCTCCACTTCTCGCTAGGAACGATCTAGCATTACTTGTATTGCGATCTGAATTGGGTAAGAAATGTTTGGGTAAGGGTATTACTTCGACAAAGTATTTTTTGTTAGTATTTTCAAACTGCCTTTACATACCCAAACATAAGTCATGGGTCTTTGCAGTTGGTAAAATTGGCGTTCCCTGCTGGTAGAAGGGCATTCTCAGACAGCTAAAAGGGCGTGGCCAAGTCTTTTTAATCCCCCAACGCCTGGTTGTTGGCAGCGGCACTGATACCCTGGGTACCAGACTCACTGTATATAAAATAGTGAGTCTGGTACCCTGGGTACGGAACTGAGCGCAATGAACAATTTACTAAAGATATTTGATAACCTTGTCACATAATTGAAATTAGAAAAATATCTATTTCGTGATCGGGTTCCAAAGAAATCAAGCTGGCGCAGTAATTGTTTCTCGTACGATGAACGACCACAGCAACTGGTGTTTGAAAATTTAACTGCAAAATGATATGTATTTCATCATTTTCGAGCTGCACTATAACAAATTGGTTGCTTTTTAATTCTACCAGCGCTAACCTCTTTTCTGGAAGGAGTTACAATGCCTACCAAAGTCTTGGAACACTGACGTCAATTTCCAAGGTCAAAATCAATCATCCTCCTCTTTCCTACAGAACAATGTTGGTTTATTGGTTAGGAGAACAGGTTAGGATTTTAGGAAAAAACATTCGTTTGCGCTTCTTTTGTGATATTTCTCTAAATTATCAACATTGTTTTAGGGGGAAGAGGCGGAAGTAGTAAATTTTTTCCGGGAAGGAATGAAAGATATCAAATGCAACGCAAATTGCTGGGTGTTCCTAGTACTTTGTTTTGACAGGCATTGTACATAGTATATTAACAGGTACTTCTTTTGGTCAACAAATGACAATACAACGCGAAAGAGTTTAGCAAGGATCTTCCAAATTGATCCCTTTGAACGAGGGATTATTTCATTTAGCGACAATCACATAACAAAAGGAATCTAAAGAACGCGAAAGAACTTTATTTTTCGCACAAGGATAGGTTGTTTTGCGCTTGTGAGAAATTTTAGGCTTTAACTTAATTCTCAAGAAAACTTTACCAGTTAGTTTGGCGATGATGTCAACAGCCTCTGTTTCATTGTCGTATCAAATTTTGAATTGACAAGAAAATGGCGTCTTTCATGGATAGAAATCCACGAAAGGTGAAGGAAATGCTGGCCAGTTTCCTCCACACTCCCGAGAGATCTAACGAAGAGAAAAATAATTCCATATTGTGAGTATTAACTTTCGTTACTTCCTTTTCTGTATACCATTCACATTTACAACACAATTTTTATACATCATGATCCACATCCATTTTTAATCAGAAGCAGTGTTTTTCCATTGTTCATCTTATGGTTTATGCCTTACTTATCATTCAGCTTTGAAGTAAAAGCACATTTAATTTAGATGCAAAGTAAATTATTTTAATCAAGAAAGAATAGATTGTCTGGAACTAGAATTATTAATAAATTATCTTTTGAAATTATGCCATGTTTTGGAAGCACTCCGTGCGTGCCGTTGGAACCCCAAGGAGTTAATCTTAATGTCATTTAAATAAACTTGAATAGATGCATTATGCAAATAATATCAGGCTTTGATGATGGCCGAGCAGTTAATTGCAGGTGTATTGAATTTTGATTTTAAGTATTCTTGTCCAAACACATGCCTGCCCTAACTAGTAAATTAACCTTTAACAAAAAAAACAACGGCCATACCAAAATTTAACTATAAAATTAATGAATTATTTCAAGAAATTAATTTGGTTGTTAAACTTAAATGTTTTGAAAATGGTCAGACAGTTTAAAAGTTCAAATCAATCAGTTCAATTTATTTCAAAATTCGACACAACATACAATTAAGGCTACATTTGTATGCTCAATACTGCTATACAACAATTAAAGATATATGTGAATAAAGAATAATAAATCAATGTTGATTTGTAGCACTGTTGTGGTGATATTTTGAGATTAGAGTAGTGAAATGCTGTTGTTTCTGTCCATATGTGTCCCCTCCTTTATTAAATTTCGTATCAAAGGATGAAGAAGGTGTTTTCTGTAATATTTTCAATGTTTTTTAGCTAATTTGTTCAGTTAAGTTATATAGAAGCACTTGATCAGTTATGTCTATATTAAAAAAATTTATGGTTTTCAATAATGATTTCAATAGAAATTTACAACAATGAGCTTTCATATCAGCATTCTGACAGACTTATATATTTGCTCTTATATATGAAGCACCTAAATATTTGCTCTGATGAGGCCTGTATGCTGGGGCAAATATTAGCCATAGTTAATTGATTCTTGTTCTCAGCTCATTGCTTTGTGCCTTATTTGCTACATTTCTATTAACTTTTCACCGCAAGAATTCCATCGATTGAAGTCCATTGAGCAGTTTGCAATTTTGACTTTTCCTTTATTTACACACTTATAAATATTAGAGTTTATTTGCAAAAGGTTAGAGCAGTTGCTTGGGGCAGTAACTGTACCATTGATTACCTTGGTCACTTTTAAAAAGATATTTATAACTTATTGTGGCAGGCTTCAGTTTAAAATAAGTCAATTTATTTGATGTAGCTATTGAGATAAACTTGCTCTTGAAAGTTTGTTCTTGTAAAATGCTAATCAAACAGAGCCATAAAAGTGTATCTGATATTATGGCAGTGGCAGGTAATGTTTTAGCAATGTCACAAATTTCCATAATTCATTATTTTAAAGTTTGATTACAAGGTAAATAGCGAGTTAATGTAACATAATTTTTAATCTGGAGGAATTATTTCGTAGGACAACTGCATCCTCATCATCAGATGTGAAGATGACTTGTAACCCAGGAAGTAAAGATATGTTCATTGAAAGAGTCAAATCGTTTTCTGTATCCTTGAACTAACATATCTCTTTGGCTTATGAAGCTGTCTGATCTAAGTTAGGCTTTTAGTGTTTTCTGCACAAGAGTTTATGTTTGATAGGACTCTTTTGAATTTTGTGGTGATTAAGTTTCACTTTAAAGATAAGATTTTACAAACTGAGGGGTTTCTTGATAAGAATTAATTCACCCAGCTTTTAAGGTCCTACACAATGCATTCTGATGTCTTTTTGAACATTTTCATTTTCTGTCAGACAATCCATTTGATGTAGCATTCTAGAATTCCATCTAGTAATGCCATGGGTCACATGTAAGCCTGTGCTTTTTGTTTTTTCTAAATTTTATTTTTTCTTCATTGTACATTCTTCTTTCATGGGTTTTTTAAAATTAGCTTTAATGGCCAGTTCCCTGATGACAACATTCAACAGGAAACTTGAAGTTGTTGATTACACATCAAAGTTTTTGAGATCTAAGGTATTGTGAGAGGTAGAGTGGTCAATATGAATAATCCAATAATTTCTCTTCATATAGGATGATGGTCATAAACGATGAAGGAGGATGATTTATGTTGATGTGAAATCTTTTTGAAATTTGATTCTTGTTCTATTTACCTGAAACTCAAGAGGTATATGCATCAGTTAAAAAAGATTTTACAAATTTGAAAGCCCGTACTTGGAACAAGCAATAGTCAATACCAGTCAAGTGTTTCAAACAATAACATTCTCTTTGTAGCTATCCTTTGTAGCTAGGATTATCCCTCAGGTCATTTTTAAGCAACCATGATCACATATTGTTTTCAGAAGAAAGTTATAACACATCTGTTAAGTTAAGAGAATCTGGTTAGGAAAACTTCTTTTTTTAAAATTATTAGGGTAGATTAATGTTGTGATGTCAAAGTTTGGTGCTACTTGAGGTATTCACTGTTTTCTATTTGATACAGTGCTCATCTATCTAATGGTGATGCAGAATCATCAGTCTTAAAGCAGTCTGTTTCTTCTAATTTTTTTAGCTCTATACCAAGGAGTTTCCCTTTTAGTTCTGTGATGGTTTTAAGTCTCTTTAGATTCATTTGTTTAGTAAACATGCACAGTTATGTAACCACACCCAGTGACTTTCAGCCCAATCATTATTTTACATTGTCTGGCTATTTAGATAGGACAATTTTTTGCAATGAAAGACTTTGCTGCTTTCAGTCAGAATTTTGTTGTGTACTAAATGAAAGAATCCAAAAAAACCAAATTTCTTAATTTAAATAAAGTGTTTGTTGTGTCTATGCATGCCAGTCTATAAAAGGGAGCAACCATATTTTCCAACTTTTTTGAAAAAATCTCAAGTTTTCTCCTAATTATCAATCAAAACCACCTTTTCAAGAAAATTGATGACAACCTTTCTTATTTTTCATAAACAATTTTATTCAGCACCCAGTTTATCAAAATTTTCAAGTGAAATGATAACATAGAAGATAAAACATCCAATTTCAAAGTTTGCATTTGTGCAATATGAAACAATTCCTTTTTCCTACAAGCCAAAAGGATTCTCAAGGATCTGTCACTAGTCTAGACAGGCTGTATTTGGCAATCATTAGTTTAAGGCAACATTAGTTTAAACTTTCCCTTGATAGTTATTTTGCTACCTTGACTAAGTTTTTAAAGCCATCTACATGGACTGCCAAGCCTGTTGAATTGTCACCATTGCACTGCTCAAGATATGGCTGGATGAATGGTGACAATGATGAACTTGTTTGTGTCACATGCAAAGCAGCCTTGAATGCTGGCTTGCCTGATAACTGGGACAATGAAACTTGTGAGTTACTTTGAATACTTGTTTATCCATTCTTTATAGTCAAAGAAACATATCTAGAATTTATTTTTGATTTCCTAAATTACAAAAAGTCTTTTGATTTTTGTTTTCCCAAAAATTCTAAAAATTTACCTACAAGCATTGCATCTTTCTTTTATCAGGCTGAAAGCCTTTACATCTCACCTTGTAAATTTACTTATTTTACAATTTGCCAAGGGCATCTATATTCTTCGTTGAAAGTCTTTGGTAAAGGTAGATTTTGAAAGAATCAATGTTACAAATTTGTGTTATGTCGGCAAATTTGCTTGCTTTTGTGGGCATTGCCCTCCCACTTGAAAAATGAATTTCTGCCACTGAGTTGAAACTTTCAGAAAGCAACAATGTAGTCAGAGTGTGCTCTTTGGCTTTTGCTCTAAGGAAAACATGATATTTTCTCCATCATTTTAAGCCTTTTTTGTTTGAACTTTTGTTTTGATGTTTGAATCTATCAAATGGTGCCCTGTTCGGACTAATCATTTGCTCTTGTTTGAAAGCTTTGTTAATATGTGATAAGAAACAAGAGGAAAAATAGTTTTGTGATATTATCGACTGTTTTTCAAAGTAAGATCGTATGACATTTTTCGTAATACACTACCTCTATTCTGTGTAACCCTACCCATCCAAATAATATGTTCCATAATGTATGTTCATACAGGGCTGCCGAGAGCGAGTCCAGACCCCAGGGCACCCAATGCGTGTAGGCATCTTTTTTGACAAGGAATATAGATCCCAAAATATGAAATTAATATAGATTCCGTACTTACAGGTGCCAGAATGGGCACAGCCCCCAGGGTACTTGCCCTAACCACCCCCTATTTCGGCGGTCTTGTGCCCACAGGCTTTATATTTCAATTAGTTGTAATGTAACAGCTGACAAATATGCTTTAAGTGGTGCCTTTGTCATGCTCGAGGCCTGGTGTACATTTTTCATTAGCTTCTTGGATACAAGGCAGCTGACGTTATCAAGTTTTTGACCCAGAATATTTAATCATTATGGCATTATGGCATTATGTTTTTCCAAATGTCCAGCTTGCCTTGTTTCTTGAATTCCATTTGTCTTACAGAACTAATAATCCAATTAAACTTTTATTTTGGGTTAACTGTAATACATAAACAAAAATACAAAATCAATAATATTTTTATCTTTTTCCTTTACCAGACTGGAAATCTGGTCATAAAATCATTTAGAACAAAATTATATTTTAGCTGTTGCTTTAGGGGTTGAATAAATTCTTAGCACTAAATCCACGGAATTTTTTCTCAGGATATGTAACCCTTAGAATGGCATGCTCGTTTCTTGTATTCCTGATTCTTATAACTTATCGTCTTTCAAAACTGACATCACCTGACTTGACCCGATCTCTTTCGCCTTAGCTTTTTAACTCATCACATATCAAAACTTCGATTTAGGCGTTCTAGGCCTCTGCATGACATGAATTGATAGAATCTATTAGTGCTTGTGGATGTGAACTGTCTGTGCCAAAAATATTGTCTGTGGATAAATGCAATGGCGGCGCCAGCCACTGCGCTCTGGGGGGGGGGGCAAAACAAAATATTTTAGACCACGCCCCTTTTAGCACCAGAAAAACGCCCTTTTACTAACAAGGAACGCAATTTTTACCTGAAGGGAACGCCCATGACTCACTTTGGACTATGTAAAGCCAGTTTGAAAATCATAGGATTACATCACAAAGAGTACGTTGCCAAAATAAGACCCCTCCCCCAACATTTTCTCTTAGGATTTAGACGAAATGCAAAACTGATCCTGCCAAAAACGTGTCCCCCAGTCCCCCCGTGGCGCCGCTACTGGATAAATGTTCGATAAAGGTATGGCAACAACACCGATTGTCAAGCAACTTGCAAAATGAAGTTGAACCAGCTATTTCTCTTAATTAATACGATTCGTATATAGGTCTTATGAAAGAAAATGTCCAACTCCGGAACTCTGTTGTCTAAGCCCACTGACATTTCTTGTTAAAACTGCGTTTAATAATGATTTGAACACCTGGTAGTGTTTATCCAATGCTTTTCAATTGGCTCTACTAAAGGCAATGAGATCAATCATTAATATAAAACAAAGTTGGCGTAATTTTTTTAATGTTTACAAAATAGACAAAACTAAAATTCTTTATTGGCCTTTGATTGTTGAACATAATTGTCCCACACAGCACCTATTCCATTTCACACATTAAGCTGTAGGCATGGCATATTATAGCTTTGTAATAGTTTGAATGCAAATCAAGTGAAAATGAATTAGATAGGAATAAGTTTAAATAGAACCACCTTTGTTGAATTTTCTCCACTTTCGGCTGGAGCCCCCCTTCAATAATAGACAAAATTTAGTATGTTTCCTTTATAACAGTATACTGAACGGGAAGGAAAACAATAGGCAGCCCCCCCTCCAATATGAATTTCGTTCCGACGGCACTGCAAATCATTATTTAACCACCCCCAATCCTTGACACTTAAATCCGTCTCTGCAGATGTACGAATCTTAAGTCAAACTGGACCAGAAAGTTAACCAAAGTTAAAGACTCATTGCTAACAATGAGCCATTGCGCTACGCAAGCATCCCATAATGCATTTTTAGACAGTCTGAAATCAATTTTGGTGAATTCGTAGAAGTTTACTGCCATTGTTTGGATCACCACCACGCTCGCAAAGGCCCATTGTTAGCAATGAGTCTTTAAGTCATATATCGTGGTGTCACTGTTTTTTGTAAACGCTTATCGTCGACTATCTGGGCAAGGAATTGTACTGCTCACTCCTTGTTTTGTTAGTATAAACGGAGAAAGAATGAGTCCATATGCCTGGTATTTTTCTAAGAATAGACATTTTTTGGAAGTAACTTTTTATAACGAACTCAATACTTGGATTTCCGGGCCGTTTATAAACTCTTTGACTGGCTCATAAAAAACGTTTTTCATAGTGAGCCCGTTTGAAAGAACATATACCGTCTTCTTTCTTGTGATAGGGAGAGAACACATAGTTGCAGAGGCATGTCATTTTTTATTGTCTTTGCCTTATATTTTTGTTAACTTATATATTTCTTGAATTTTCAGGCCTTGTAATTTTATTGGCTCTTGAGAATTTGCTGCACAAGTACCATTCTACGAATTTCTGTCATCTCGTAATTTAAGAAATAATTAAAGTTTCGAGTACTCAATCTTTACACAATTTTAAGACACCTTCACTACTGAGAAAGGTTTTTGTGAAACAATACGTGTATCATCATCATCAGGTACCATCTTCTATCTGAAGGTTGGCTACCATGACCCTCCAACTATCCCAAAATATGAGTTTTGATTTGTTGTCATGGTCATAGATAATACGTGTATATCCTTTGAAAGTGTTCATATATTTGACAGGCTCTATATTATTTCTTCAGATACTGAAATGTGCAAATCAATTCAAGAGAAATTGAAGAAGGGGCACAAAGATGTTTGTCCATGGCAAGCTAGCCCATGCCCGGTTTCCTTCCTTAGTCTTCCTAATCATTCAAGAGATGGCTGGCACTCATACCTCCGAAATGCATTTGAAAAGCTCCTCACTCTGGGGAAAGACATGCCATTACTGGATGAAGACGTTCTTGATAAGATGGTTTGTTGTGTTTCTTAAATACAGTAAATGTCACCTGCAGATCAGTCGATCTCTCTCATAACTTTGTTGTATTGCTCTGGATTCATCATATCTTAGTCCAAACTCTATTTCTTAATTGCCCAAACTCTATTCTAAGACTCATAATTGTACAGAGTGGAATTATATCTTACAACTAAATTGATAAGATTAAACCCTGTGAAAAATTCTTTCAATTCCTATTAATGGCTCTTTAACATTTCACTTCTGAGTGTTCTTAAGAATAAATCCAAGATCCACTATATTTTCTTCTCTTTTTTCCTCTAATTTTCTATAATTTATTAGGGGACCTTGAAGGTAGCTCTCTTTTCTCATTCTGTGTGGTTGTTAGCCTCCCTTAGAGGTTCCTAACAACCTCTTTTAAGGAGTTGTAATGTTGGTCTCGTTATCATATGGAAAATTTATGGGAAAGGAGGGGTCGCTTAGCAATACCAATCTGCGCCAGTAATCATTTCCTACGCATGTGATTAGGCAGCCTTAACAATACCTGCATTTTGCTCGTATTTTTGATTGGACTATTTCGATCAAAAACTTGGTCCCAGCCCCCTTTCTTTACCGGGTCAAGTCAGCTTTTTCGCTTGATCCGCACCTGCGATCTATTTTCGTTTGAGTGGGCAACTACAGAACGTGGATCCTCTGTTTAATTTTCTTTCTACTTGGCGCGGATCCCACGCACCTGTATTAATCGTGGATCGTGAAAACGTAAGCGTCTGCAAAAATTGCAAATTGATATTTGCAGTGCCATATCACATGTTGGTCTCGTTGTCATATGCAGTTATTTAAAAGAAGAGTTGCATGTTTTTTGACGGTTTAAAAATCGGCTGTAGTGTGTCGGGTTAAATTTTGACCCTGTTTGAAAATCAAAATGCCATTCTAATGTTTATCTTTTTTGCGTGAAAAGACGGAGAATCAGAGCAAATCTGAAAAAGGAGGAGAGTTGACAATATTGGCAGCGATGATTTGCTCAGATATCAAATTTCCAGCCTTCAGGGGACACTTTTTAGCAAGAGTGATAACCAAGCTAGTTTCACAACCCAGTAATGGACACTTGCCGTGTTTTGAAAAACCACGTGGTTTGAAGCAGCCTTTCACTTCGTATCAATAAACAAACCTCATTGTCAGTAGATCTCGTTTACATTTCTTTACTGTCGTTACCTTTTCAGGGTATAGCAGAGAGAGGTGTTATCCAGGAACTACTGAATATCGTCAACCACCAGTCAACTAACGATGAACAGAATTTATTCGCAAGAACAGCCGTTGCTCTAGCTCTTTGTGGCTGGAAGCCAAGGTATCATTAAGTGTTGTTTACTCTTAATTTTTATACAAAATTTTTTCTCGTGTGATTAGTAAAGTGAAATTAATGTTGATTTTTATGGACTTACTGGCACGAATATACACAGCTGACCGCTGCAATTTGAAGTTGTTCCGAAAGAAAGTGTAACACGAATGGGCAGGGCCGCCGAGAGGTTCGGAACCCCTGGAGCAGAACGGAAAGACGACGCCCCTGCCAGCGAAACGAGCGATTTTCATTGCGATCACACCAGCAAAGCGATCACCCGATATATTTCATAATAACGTTTCACTATTTTTTCAAGGCATGATTTTTTCAAGTTTGATTTATTCTAATTTCAAAATTGAATTTGTTACTTTATGAGGCCCCCTAGATCTGGAAGCCCAGTGGTGATTTGCCCTCCTGCTCCTCTCAACGGCTTGCGAATGGGTTGCTGATTTCATCAAAGGAGTCTGGAAACGTTTTTTTTAAATTAAATTGATTGCCAAGGTTTCCTTCTATAAAGGTATGCAGTTCTAAAAGAACAATCAGAAAAGACGTATAACTGTAAGCACGATATAAAAATAAAAAACTCTTAGCTAATGCTCTCGATACCATTTAAATATAAACAATGGTGTTGAACAGCGATTAGACGTTTGTTCAGCACTAAGCAGGCCGTCCTTTCTATGCTCCTTTCGTCATTATTAATTGGAACATGGTAAATGAAATCCTGTTCTTCTTACGCGTAGCAATATATTTTTGAAGTATGATAGTATAATAGTAATAACAACTGCAATAGCTTTTCAAAAGCTGAACATATTCCCTGTATAAAGAATAACATATATTTGAATTTGCCAGGCATTTGAGAAATGTTGTTGTGAGCTCTTTCTAATGAAAATCAAGACTACTGCCCAAAGACACTTAGTAGTTGCTCTCGTTGTTAAAATTTTTCATTATTTATCATTACTGTCAAACTCAATAGCTATTTTTGACGCGGCCTATTGGAAACTTCGAGGGTTTTTTCTGTACTCATTCACCAACTGAAATGCCAGAAACCCTTTGGATCTTTATCTCATTAATATAACTAGCATAAAGGAAATTATGATTAAAAAGATTTTCTGTTCGAAAAATTAAAGATTTTCGTTTCCCAACTCGAAAGAACCTTAATTAACGGCGACGTACTAATGGTTTATCGCTTTCAGAGTGCTATCTGCTGTGACAACAAAAATGTTATGCAATATTTCAAGGACGATGTTTTAAAGGAATCCACAAGTTTGTTTTTAACTAGTAAACACCGAACTTAACGTTAATCTATAGCATCATAACAACCTTTCTCATTGAGAAGTATTTTGTCTTGTTCTTTCAGATCGTATAGTTCAAATCTCAATATTATACTCCATTGGAGATACTTTTACTTCGATAAAGATTAGGTCTTAGCTCAGGGCTAACTTTTACCATGTTTGTGTTATGACTAGAGCCACAGGTAGTTTTGTACAAGTGTTTTGCAGTTTTTAGTAGTTCCCATGCCATTTTCATTTCAGTGAACAGGTGAATGACGATGCTACACTTCTCTGCGACACATGCTTAAAGGAATGCGGTCTGTGGAACTTCGTTTCTGTTACGGAGGAAAACAATCCAGTGCGAGCAGGCAAAAGATTTGCCACTGAGCAGGGGAAGATGGGAGTAGATACCAGGAGTATGTATGCTAGCTTTTTGAGTGATGTGTCCACATTTCGATCGGCTGAATTCGTCTCGTCTAATGTCTCCATGCATTCAGAGACTGACAGCCAAATGTCCGAGAACGGGATGAATGCCACCGGTGCAAGCGACAATAGACGAAATGTAGTCCCGCCACAAGGCGAGAGTAGGGCAACAGTATCCGTTAGTAGTGAAGCGGGAGAACAAGCGAGACCGAGAGACAGCCTGGGAAGCACGTCAGAAGTGACTGCTGAAGAAGGTAGCGACGAATCGGTTAGTCAAAAGTCGGAACGAAAACTCCATCGTTCAGGCTCACAAGAAAGCAGAACCTTCGCTCATATTTTTATGGAACCAACTGCTCCAGATACTGGGAAAATGGAATTGATGAAGGCACTTCTTTTTGCCAAAGATCTTCAGTTTGATCCATCGTATAGTGAGTCGGTCATTAGCGAAGTGGGGTCAGAGGCCTTTGAGAAAAGGATTGAGATCGCGAGAGAAGAGATGTCTGCCGAAGAAAATACACAAGATCCTGACCCTCCACCACCTCCACCACCAAACCAAGAAAATCTAATGAAAGAACTCCTTTTGGTCACGGCACCACACGAAGGCAGCCCTAGAGGTTCTGAATCGATATTTAGCGAAGTTGGTTCGTTAATGTTTGATAAAAGGCTAGAAACATGGTCCGTTTGCTCGCCACGTGCAGAAACTCCCACAATGAAAGATCGATCACAGGTTCAAGAAGAAGAGAGCCCAGTCAGGACGAGTAGCCTTGAAGGAAGAGTAAAGCGCATGCGATTTCACGTAAGCCTTTGTTTCAAATTAAACATATTTCTAGTGTAATGATATAACATCATATCTCATTCAGGACCACTATGTTGGAGCTTTACTTAAATTTCTGCCCATTCGGCTCTTTCAAACAAATGCTTTCATAGTGCATGCGCTACACAGATTCTGATCTGAATGGCGGACGTGTTTAGGTTTAGGTTTAGGAAGTTCTTGTTTAGGAAGATTATATTGTAATATTCATAGAAACGCCCAATCATAAGCTTACGAGTTGTATTCAACTCAGCGGGCACAAAATATACAATATTTTACAATGGTTCAGTTTACTACCGTGCCATAGTGTATTCCAGAGTTTCTTGCCTAACCTTCAAGATTATTTTCACTTAACTCCACTCTTGAAAACAGATGATATTGACCACTTTCAGAGCAACTTGAAAACTCCTTCCTCCAGCTATACGCTCTCATTCTCCTCTCGACTCTCCCAACTCCAACTGAGCTTAATAATAAAATAAATCAATTTAAAACAACAAGATGCAGCTAAGCGTGCTTGAAAACTAATACCCGTTTCTAAAGCGACTACGGACAGTACAATACTAATGATAACAAAACAGCAAGGATAATTATGCTACACCGATATTTACAATAAATTTTGTATAACAACAGTTACCTGAGTTACTTAGCAACACTGACTTAGCATCAGTAACAGCTTAACGAATCTGTTTTTATTGAAATAGGAACCAGGTTTGCATACATTCAACGTTGTGGAGGAGCATCGGCATTGGTGCCCATGGCTGGTCAATGGAGAAACAAAATCGTCAGAAGGAGGCAAAGAACCTTTGCCAGGATGGAAAGGAGTCTTGAATTCGCTGCTTAATAACGATAACAGAACTGACAAACTTTTGCAGGTATTTGAAAGTTTGTATAGCGAATCCATTCATGCTTATTTCATAAGGCCGGTTTACACGATCATATTCAGGTAAAATTTCCATCACATTTTTTATGTGATCGCAGATTGTGATCGTGTAAACGACCTTAGAAGTTGCTTGAAGTTGCACGAAGCAGTAAGAATTGATCTCTTTTAATTGCCTGTTGATTCACTGTCACAGATTTTTCATCTGACAAAAAACTCATATTGATTCAAGCAGGAAAGTATCGTATTTACATTTGATAGAAATTATTCATAGCATCAACCGTACAAATCCCAAATAACAAGTGAAACTCAACTTCACTGACAATCTTTTGATAAGATTAATGAAATCAAGTTGCGTATTTTGGAAACCCCTATTCATGATTTTGAGTGTACCGTGAGCTTTCTTGGCGCTATTAACGGCGCTATGTCCAGTTAGTCAAATGTGCACGCTTCCATATATGCTCTGTGGTGCGTTTGCAATTGCGAAATCTTCGAGACTTAATGCCGCGTCGCCGAATGGAAAATTAACAATAGCCTGTTCCATATTGCAACCAGCGAAAAATCAAATCAACTGACCACCGAAATTCATCGGGACAAAGTGCTTTCAAACATATGATTAATGAAGAATTTTTATAATGAGGTTAATTGAACGTGTCTCTGAGTAATCTTGACATATGGTAAATGTGTAGGGTTCCTATGATACCTATCCGAGTATGAAGATTTGTTTCATTCTTGTCAACTTTCAAAGTTTTTTGTACTGACCGTAAAGCGGCATTTGGCATACTAAAATTATTTTTCTTGTCTCAGCCTCAATAATGTGTTGCGTAAGATCTATGGCCTCATTTCTTGAAGCCTAGTTCGAATAAAAAGCATACGTGACGTAATTATAGATGAATTCCTCACAATGTGCTGAAATGTACTTGTAGCATAGTTAAGGCCAAACAAAGAAATTGTCACTTTAACCTCTTGCTTATGTGCCCCCTTACTGACCAAATGCTTACGAGACCAGTATCACTGTCTCAGGAACGTCTTCTCAAGCTTGAACATTTCTTTCTTAAACCTTGATATTTAACTGTATCATTTCAGGGTTCTCCAGATGAAGTTTGGAAAAGTGTTAGAAGAGTATTGAAGGACTGCCAATCACCAAAACTTGACCCAGCGGATTCTGGAAAATCTCGAGATGACAGCCCACAATAACTCGATTTCAATGTGTTTTACCATACTTCTGGAAGTTTCAGAAGCTCTTTCATGCGAGAGAAAAATTATGACAAGCTCGCTTTTATGCTGGCCTGGAGTCAACTGAACCACCACAGAAAATTATAAATGTTTATAAGCAGAAATTGGACGAAACATTACATTAACTTTTCTGTTTTTCCCCTTAATACTTTTTGTATACTGCTTTATCCGAATGGAAACAGACTTCAGAAATGACAGAGACGAGGCTCATAGAGAATCTATTTAATTCAAATTTAAGTATTAAGCAAAATTTTCACAACTTATCCCATGTTTCCTAATTTTGCGAATTCCCTTTTAAGAATTGTTTTACCAAAACTACTGTTAAGCTACTAGAGTATTAAGGAACGGTGATACCATCCTTCTACAAAATTCAGGGGAAGCTACGCGAATTTTGTCCAAGATCTGAAATCGTCACAAAGTCATAAAAATCGTCTCTTTTTCAAATACTCGCCCAGTCGCAGAGGTTTCCCGCAACATTGTTGATATGCTTTGAAATTATTTTTTGCCCTCGAATAATTTCGATTTTTTCCACATTTTTTCTTGTTACTTAGTTAACTCATCGGTCCAATCCCGCTTTCACGTCCAATAATTTCAGGATTATTTTCGCCAAGCTTTGAAGTTAGAGTAGAGGCATTCATCTGTGTTTGGGTCATTTATTTTTAAGCAAAATGTTGGATCGCCTGAAGATATGATGCTATTAGCAGTGCAATTATATAATAATTTACTTCGCAGACAGAAACTAAAAAGTACCTGTTTAGGATCCTGATCATTTTTCATGTTTCAGCAAGAGAACGGGACCGCCAAATAATGACTAATAGAAATTAGTTTTTCAGAATATCACATTTCTTTTATAGATAATTCACCATTCTATAACATTGTCTTAGGGATCATATTTTTGTCAATCACACGATAGAGTTTAAATAAATGTCTACCATTAAGTGTGGCAAAATAGAAATTTGGTATTATCAAATGCTCTTGTAGGCCCTAATAGCAACTATCCACAGCTTTACGTCAGTCGAACAGCTTTGTGTAAGTCTAGCAAGTCTAGGACTTTTAGTTTGTCAGCAGTTTCAAAAAGATGCCCCTTCGAAAGGCTCTCGTGCATTTTGAACAACAGTAAATTCAGCAAACAGCTGCAAGGAGGTGTAAAACTTTTTCAGTTTTTCACAACGAGCCTACTAAGAAGCAGTACTGATAACCCTAGCTTCTTCACCACTAGCTATAAGTAATACGTTTCTATAGATATGAGGAATATAGATTTAACCGAAATTTAACAATCAGCCGATTAAAACGTTCCTTGCTGTCGGCATATGCTAGATTGGACTAAAAAGCGATAATCGTGGGTTTGACTATCCTTTGAAATAATTATATATTTTAAAACGAATCATGCTTTTTCCGCTAGTTACAAATTCACAACTTGTAATATTTATTTTGTCATACTCCATTTTTCATTGTATTTAGAATTATAAAATACTGATAATTCCAGGAATTGTTTGCCATCCGGATTGGTATGTTATTTTTAGGACTGGTCTTGCATGTCTTCTACTGCCTTTTTAGTGGATTACTGTAAATCCTCGAATTGGCCCCCCCTCGAATAAGCCCCCACCCTAGAACTACACATTGTTAATAAGCCCCCCCTCTCGAATAAGCCCCCACTGCTACCCTAAATTCTCGAATTGGACCCCTCCATTTGATGATTTTCGCGATCTGAGGTTGCCTATGGCGTTTTATTGAATTACAACAACAAATTCATACTTTTGGTAGTAATTAGTTAAATGCTCATAAATAAATTCCTACTAGAATAAACGAGGTCTTTTAATAATGTCTTCTTTATGTCTACAATAATTTTACAAGCCCCCCCTCGTATAAGCCCCCCCTCCCTTGAATAACCCCCAATCAAAAATTTCAAAAATAAATAAGCTCCGAAGGGGCTAATTCGAGGATTTGCGGTATTAGTTCGAGAGGTTATCATGGCGCAAGAGACAAAGAAATGTCATATATATATATACAATTTATGCTTAGGGGATTGTCTTTTAAAGCAGGCATCCGCCGTGGATTCCTGACCCGTAAAAAAGGCCAGATCCTTTCCCTCTGAATTTCCCGGTGACTATCCATGACTTGATATAGAACAGTCATTTCACTTCATCCATATTGTCAAATCTTTGTTAAACCGGGAACAGGGCAGGCACTTATGACGTCACATGAGCTTCCCTGTATCTTATTCGGGAAGGTGATTACGCATGCGTTATTGTGAATGGGAAGAGGGACAGCATCATGGCTGCCAAAGATGGGCATCTATCATACATTGTGCATCAGTGGTCAAGTTTTTCTGCAAATTACAATCCAAAGTAGGTTACTTAAGATATAGTTTTCCGTAATAATAGTTGTGCGTTTTCTATCCTAGATTGTGGAGTGGAGGCCCTGTTTAGTCTTGTTAATACAAATCATTAATTTTCTGAGGGTGAGGGGTGTAAAACTAGAACGCATATAGCTTATCTCCTTACAAATCAAATAGAAAAAATCAAATCCCTTTTTCCGCAAAAAATCAATTAACTACAAGATACGTCATGTTAGGTGTTAGGATACAATCATTAATAACAATAAAGATTCCATTACAAGGAACAACATAAGATATTATATAAGATCAGCTGATGGACCATGGAAAAAAAATCTTGAAGGAGCTATCAGAACCATGTTCCCGATATGACGTGAAATGACGATAATTTAATATTAGTTTTGAAGTTGGGGACTCAACAATGTTTTTAGGGGGTAAGGCATTTTCTTATAAAATGTCTTCGATATTCTCGTCACGTTATCATAGGCATAGGAATGGGGGATGGAAGGGCTGCAACCCCCTTATCAAGCAAATATTATCGCTTTTGAAGCTCAATTTCTAGCAGTTCTATCTTAATGAGGCAGTAATATGGCAACATCACATTGCCCCCTAAATGTGTAGCATCTGCCACAGCCATGCATATCAAATTGATAGTGATATGTTTCTTGGTTGATGGATCAAATTTGCATGTTTTACTGGTTACAGCTTTTTTCCTTTTGCTTTTATAAACAGACGACCACGACCATTGCTAGTTATTATGCTCATTGGGGGTGCTCATGTCCAATTGCTGACAAAGTTTGTGAGCCATTCACGATTTGTCAAAAAGTCTGAGATTTGCTGAAGAAGCATTCCTTTACAGGAGCACCATGGGTCATTCCTCAATTTAGTGAATGCGTCTCTCCTTCTTCACTTGCACTTCAAGGATATGTTTAATGTCTTTATAGCTTTATTTGCTAATTTCAAAAATAAGTTTGGATTAAACAGTTACCAAAGCTGGTCATTACTATCTAATATTTATTACTGTCTCTTAAGAGGGTATTGTTTTTTCTTTTGTACATTTTTCTTGAAACAAAGGGGTTAAGTGCTTGGTTGGAAAATATCTACTCTTTATGCATATTTTGGAATCCAAGCCCATTGCTCAAATCTTCACTTGCACTTCAAGAAATTTTTCCATTCAATCAACAGAATCCAAAGCAGTCTGCTCACAGGTTATTTGCAGCTTGACCACAAAACATAAGCTGCTTTTAGTTATGTGATGTCAAATCCAATTCACTTGTTGTATCACGTTGCTCAGAAGTAACAATATATCACTGTTGCAGAAAATTATTTGGTTAATGTTAGATTGTTTGGGCAAGACACTAGACCAAAACTGGAATTGGAGTGTTTGCTAAAAGGTGTCTCTAGATAAATTGTTTCAGGTGGCTCTTGAAACAATCTGATTGTGGACTAGACAAGGCTCACCAAACCAGTTGCTTGGATTAAGTGGCCCACAGGGGAACAACCTTTTCATTTTTGTAATCATAGCTTACTGGAATATAAAAAATCTGACTCAGTTATTCATCAGCTCCCATGTTATCAAACTTTCAAGGAACAATAACCTTTTTTGATGTTATCAAAATATTGGAATAATCATATGTTGATCTGTGATATATAAGGGAAACCAGTTTGTCAGTAAATTTTAAAAAAGTTTATTTACTAGGCAATTTTTTAATCAGACTTTCACAGTAGTCAAAATTTTAGGCCTTATATATAGTTTTGAATTATTTTTGTGCAGATTGGATTAACACTACTTTTTTGTGTTGTGATTTGCACCATTAGGTCATTATACCTTGTATTTTCTGACACTTCGAATCTTGGGGATTTAGGGAGTTGGGAATGAGTGAACAAGCAACAGTGTGGTGCTTTAAAAGAGACAATGTTGTGAAGGATTCATTTGTAATTTGGTGGAAGTTTTATCATGTTTTTATTTGCATGTTTTAGACTAACTTGGGTAAGGAAGGAGCTATTCATCATTTCCAGGCACTTAAGTGTGATACTTTCACTAAACCAAAGTTCTGTATCATGCATGTTTTCCAAAGTTCTGTATCATGCTTCTTCTTTCTATGCACAAGAAATGTTAAGCACATGTAGCCAAATTGATGTTAAGTCGACAATTTATTTCCCTATGCAGCAATATTCTTGATGATAAACCACATGATCAGTCTTCAAGATGGTCCTCAGATAGCAACTTCCCTCCTCAGGTTAGACAATTCTATAACGTCTCAAGTAGGATTATTAGCACTTATTAGCACTTTAAAATTCTTTCTAGTGCCTGTTGATGCAGCTCTAAGAATTAGCATCCTATATATCATTAATGGTATCAGATCTTAATTCAATTCTTGCTTAAACACTTGCTTCACCTTCAATTATTAATTTAAAATAAAGTGCAACTTTGCAACCAATCATTACAGTTCAAAGAGACATAACAATATGTTTAGAACATAATGAATTAGACACAGATAGTAATATTAGACAAAACCTCAATTACATAGTCAAAGAAAAGCTATTAACAAGACCATGGAAATGAATTTACATTATATTGGTTTCATGAAACTTTGAAACATGGAAAAGTTGATTTGTATTGTTTTGTGTTATTCTTTTAGTATTTGATTCTGAAATTAACAAAACCTGCAATTGTCACAACAATCACATTTGGTAAATATGAGAAAAGTCATGTCTGCAACTTGAAGAAACTAAAGGTCTATGGCGGATTAAACACTGAGCACATGATTGAAATCATGTCAGGGTGAGATGTTTATTGAAGTTTCTTAATTTCTATTATAACTTTTAATAGAGATAACCCAAATCATCTACCAGATCTTAATTTTCATGATAAAATAGCTGATTTGTCATTTGAATCTTTGAATTTTTATTAAATGGTTCGTCATCTTTTGAAAATACAATGAGCATCTCATGCCAATTTTCAATTTAGTATTTGAATAATAGCTGCTTAGCCAACCAAGAGTATTTAATATCTTTCCAATCATATCCCCACTTTCACACGTCATTGAAGAAAGCACACAGAAGCTGAGTTATTTTGCTCAAGTCATCCCTTGCTGCTTTCTTTATTATCCATAAGAGATTCTAAGTAATCATTTAAGGTACCCAATACCCTAATATATGTACCAAATTATTTTAGACTAATTAGTTTTAAACCTTTTTTGCATTTAAGGGGCCTGAAAAATGACAGTCTTAAAGAGACATTCACACTAAAACACGAGTTAGAAAAGAAGATGTTCCCATGCAAGTTTGTCAAAATCGGTATGAAAATTAAAACCATATTTTTATATGAAGGTTGTCTATAATTTGTTTTGAAAAAAGGTTTAGAGAATAAAGTTTCATAGAAATACTTATAGCGAGCCAGAAACTAAGAGTGATGGTTTTTCTGTAGTAATTTAAACAGCTAAAGATGCCTTCACTTTCTATTTTGTATAGAATCTATTTCTATTGTTTACTGTCTTAAAACTTTTCCCCCTTTCAAATAAGAGAATAGTGTCCTCATCATTCAAAATAAATCTGAAGAGTATTTTGCAAATTTGCTTAATGTATCTATGCATATCACTACTGAAGTATTATCCTGTATAAATATTCGAGAATAATGATGATAATGATAATAATTAATAATCTGCTGTCACAATAGTCTGCTTCTTGTTTATAATTTTCCAAATCCCTAGTCACTTGTGATGGTGGAATTCATCTTTTAAATACTTGCTTTTGCTAAAAAAGTTTCTTGTAACATCAAAAAGGTAACAGGCATTGTCTTGACTCTGAATTCTTTTGTTTCAGTACCTCTCATGGCATGGGGCTCTAATTTCAATTTCAGTATTTGGCATGTGTCATTAAAAGGCATTGATGACCCAGAGACAATAAAGCCATGTTTGAAGTGGTACAAAAATGTAGGTGTTTATATTTTTACATTATATGTAGACACATTTTTACTTTATTTACTTTTACAACAAGAGATTGAGTAGCGATATGGAAGGGATTAAGGATAGTAGAAGGCTTCGTATTGTTTACAGGGCCTCCACCGAAGGGGAGCCAGGGGGGGGGGCATTGCCCCTCACTTTGTTGCAAAACAATAGAGCTTTTTAAGAATTGCTTAAAGCTTAAAGTTCGCTCTTAAACCAAAAGAATGTTAGGGTTTCAAGAGAACAGAGTGAGATAAAGAATGTTCCGTTTAACTGGTTGCATGTTTTTGCCCAGGCGGCATTTTGCTAGGGGAGAGGTTGGCGGTCAGCAACTGGTCAATAAAAAGTTCAAGTTAAATGCACCATTCTTCAACTAGCTTTACTTTCGATTCGCATCTGGATTTAAATTTCTGCTTACCTGTAGTCTTGATCTTACGTTCATACTTTGTAAAGTGTCGGACTCGTACTTTAGTATGCTATGTTTCGCTTTCCTGACTTTCTTCAAATTTGATTTATTAGAAAGGAGAGATGTGAGTAAAAAGAAGGAACTCTTCCTCTTATGCATTTCTCTAACGTGTAATTAAGGCTATTGCACTCAAAGGAGAAGGTTTTAAAGAATATGGGTGTGTATTCAACAGTTTAATATGCATTTTTGTATTTTGCTGTATGCAGTTCTTCTTGTAACTCAAAACTTTCTGTCTTTAAAAGTACAGGGAAAGGGAAGCAATCAGGCTGTGTCTCAAGCATTTTCGCCAAAAGAACTACATAGATGCATTTGATTCGCTTCAAAAGAGGACGAAGATATCTTTAGAGCACCCCATGTTGACAGAGCTCCATGCATATCTAGTAAGTAATACTTTGGGGGCAGTAACAGGGATTAGACTACATAGACACTCCTGTTATCTAAGAAAACCAAAATTGATCATAAAGCTAACGAGAATGCAATAGGATCTTCAAATTTTGTTCTTACGTCCCTGAATCTACGTTGGTTGTTAAGCACCGTCATCAAGAACCACGTGCGAAGGGTAATATTCCAGTAGGGTAACCAGGAAAACGGTAGAAATGAGGTCAGGCGGTAAAAATGAGCTCAAAAGGAGCAGATTAGTGAGCATTATGTTTTTGTGTAGTATTTTTAATTTTCACTAAGATTTAGGCTTAATAGCTCTTTCAGGTACATATTAGCTACGAACTATCTGTATAATGGCGACGTAAAGCGGTTTTTGAACTAATATATTAATATATTAATGCTTGATCTTATTTTATGCTTTTTGAGGTTAAAGATGGAAGATTTGAAGGCACAGAGAGGATTATCGAGCAAGCTGGTGCAGGTATCGTCAGTATTCTATATTTTTTGCTGCAAACGGAAATATAATTCAGTATTTTTAGGTCATAACGCTGATATTAAATATTTCAAATCCAGAGCTTCGGCAATTAATTTGTTGGCGTCCTGTAGTGCGAGGGATCTACGAAAAGAGGGAGAGATCTCTCATTCCCATTCAAGATTGCGTTAAGGAAATTAGTGAATATTATTTGAACAAAGATATTTTGGTTTTCAGCCCTCTTATAATTAAAGACTCTCAGTACCTCATCCCCCTGTTTCTGACGACCCTAAAAGCTCACATTGAAGTAAATGTACATGAAGTAGATATTGGTATCATAAGGACCACCAGTCTTTGAAACCGGCTTGTTTATCTTCATTCAGATGGCTTGTTTGATGCCTTCATCGCTCAACAAGAATACGAACCCAAGTGGATACCTATTATTCCTTTAAATGAAGGTAAATTTAGTACATTTCTATCTAAATTCTATACGATTTCATATATTTTGAAATCATAATATCATCCCTCATTAACAGTTTAGAAGACCAAAGCAACTTGTTTGTTGCTTTGAACGAAGCTAAACTTTTTGAATCCTGCGAATTTGCTTGAAAGTTTCTTAGAAGCGCGTTGTTCAAGCATTATCTAAATTGAATCTCGCTAGGACTTTGCCATTCTTCAATATAGGAAGTTCGGCAGTAACTAGAGGTGTTTTGCAGGGATGGTCACCAAAGCATTGATCAAGGACACTGGAGCTTGTTTTGGAGTGGAGGGGCTCTAAACGAGTTTGCCAACACCTATGATAGTTTGCAACCATTATCTTTAATGCCACAATCTTGATGTAATTCTTCTGCTAAAGAGTTGGGCACTGCAGTCCTAAGCCCCCTCCGCTCTGGCTTGAGCGTGCCTGCTCATGAAGTATGGGTATTCAAAACACAAAATGTTTCGGAAAGGAAGCACAACGGTTCTAGACTGTTCTAAACCTTTACTGCAGTTTGGTATATCAAAGTGTCCGCGGTAGAATGGTTCATCTCAAGGCTGAGTTCCCTAGACTGATTTGACTACAAGCAAAAATCCCTTTCAAATCATGTATCTGATAATTAATTCCTGTGTTTTAGACGGTGAAGAGAGCACTCATCGCCCAGGGATGCGTGGGGGCCATCAAATGTGCATCGATGCGGAAGGCTCTGTCATATATTTACTCGGAGGCTGGGATGGTATACATGATCTGTCAGACTTCTGGGCCTATCACTGCAATAGGGGGCAATGGGAATGTCTCTCACTTGAAACTGCGAGCGATGTAAGTCTGTTATTAAAATTTTGAAGGCCATTGGTACAAGAAACCCATTATAGAAAAGTCGCAGTTTTTTTTTCTGTTCTATTCTCTTGTACAGCTGAAAATGGTGTTTCTCAAGAAGAAAATGCACTCAAAGTCACTGAAGCGTTGAGGCATGCTTTTTAAGAAAACCGATGCATTTCCTTTTTTTTCAAAAACCTACGAATGCATGTCTGTTTGGATTGGTTGTGGATAGGTTGTGGTATCAAAAAAAATTATGCATTAGTTTTGCTTCTAATTATTTTTTTACTGGCATCGGTAGTACAGAAGTAGAATGACGTATCTAATTATTAATTTCATATCAATTCACTATTGATCTTATTTTGTATTTGCAGGGTGGACCGAGTGCACGATCTTGTCACAAAATATGCCTTGATACGAAACGACACACACTTTACACGCTGGGACGATACCTTGATTCTGAAACGAGAGCGAATGCTGATCTAAAGGTAAACAAGCAAAAATTACTATCTAATGTCCTTGTAAGATTTATTTTAGTTTTCTGGATAAAGTGGTCAGTTTTTGAACCAATCATATGTATAAAGTTGAGCCGGTCAGTGATTTGTATTGAAGCATATTGAGATTTCACGGAAATTTCTTTGGACATCACATGCCTTTTTTGATTGGAAAGGAAATGAATTGAATAGGATTAATCTTCTTACTTGATAGTATGCGTGATACTATTAAACTTAACATTTTCACCGGTATTAAAGACATGCACTGAATGACAATCGAAGCAATAAAAGTATCAAGGGAATAGACCAAACATTTTTTGTAACTTTTTTTCGTTCAATAATATTGAAAGTTATTGAAAAACAGCCCATTAATGCTCCTCAGTGTTCTCAAAGTTTCACTCAGAATTGTTGTGAATTGTCCTTTATTAACAAATTATAATTTCACTTTGCAATTTCTTCTCAGAAGACTTTCCTTCTATTTGAGTAACATTTCAGTTCTTTTGCTTTCTGATAAGAATTTATTTGAATAAACTCATTCTATCTCAACAACAGAGTGATTTTTACCGTTATGACCTTCAAACTGGCCATTGGGAACGCATCACAGAGGACACAGCCAAGGAAGGTGGCCCACAATTGGTTTTTGATCACCAGGTAACTTTAAAGTGAACCTCTTTCAAACTTTTAATAAATCTATAAATTCAAAGAAACCAAATCCTTGTTTTCAGCTTCTCTGTAAAGGCTACCTCTTAAAGCACCCTTAAATTGTCAGGGTTGAGCAACTAAAATAGACTTGTTGCATTTCTGATATTATGAGCTAATGAAGTGAAACAATTTGTTTCTCCTGTTTTCATTTTGTTAATATGAATTTCAATGGAATAGGGTTTCTTCAATGGACCTTTAGGTGAAGCTTTAAGAATCAAAAGCTTTAGGTGAAGGGCGATAAGTTATAGTAAGCCGACAAGTATGGTTTTTAAAGTGACACATTTTAGTTCATTTTTTGCAAGGGAGATTTGTGTAATAAGACTATCCAAAAATTATTTTTAAAGATGATAACCCCAAGTAAAAACCACAAGCTTGCTTGAAAAATATAAGTGAAGTGGGCTGGCTTGTTTTCCTTGCTGCTTCACAGTTTCTTCTGCATTAAAATTAGAGAAAGATTTTGGAAGGATGTAATAATTATTTCTTGCCTTATACTGACGTGACTTTATTCAAATTAATGAAAAACAAAACCAATTTCATGATTGATTGATATGCATGGCTTGTAATTAAGTGTCTCGCCAAAACAATATATTTTCCCTTATCTTTTCATCAAATATCAAATTTTTCTAGATGATATTTGACCCTATTACTGACAACATCTTCGTGTTTGGTGGGAGAATTCTCACAAAGTAAGTATGCATTTGGATAAACTTTTGATAAAGCTAGTCATCTGATCTTAAGTTGGCCTAAATTAAAGCTGTTTTTGAAGCACCCGAAAAAAATGAATTTGTAGTTCATACCAATTTCAAGAGTTTTACTTAGGCCTTTCTGCCCCCTAACCTTATTTCTGCTAAAGACTCGAGCCTGTTTCTTGAATAACACTCCGCTCCATATCAATTAGAAAATCACAAAGATTTGATCATCCTTTGAACATTTTTGCAATCCTGCAGCGAGGGTTGAGCAATTCTCGACGTGACTGAGGGCTTTGGTTAGGGTCCCGAATTCAACATTAGACTGAAAATCATGTCGGGCTGCTCAATCAAAAATTCAAATTGTCAGGCCTTGGTTTTACTCGTCAAGCATATCTTAATCTGCATTTTGAAGCATGTAATTTTAATTTGTTTTAGCTCTTCATTAGATGACCGGTCGTTTGAGCCCCAGTTTAGCGGACTATATTCCTATAATATACCAACAAACACATGGAAAAAGCTGAGGTATGTCTATATTGGAAGAACGACTACGTAACTCTATATAGCAGAAACCTTTACTATTGTATAATTAAAAGGTAGCAGTTAAGTTCAGTCAAGTAAATCGTATACACGTAACGGAAGTACATAGAGCACGTGTTCGGAGCCAACAGAATTTTAAGGTAGGATAACTGGTTTCTTTCTTCGCTTCCTTTAGCCGTCTTCTTGTGCTTCTAGTGCGTTCCCATTTCTTGCTCACAGTTTAAAAGGTGGACAAAAGCTAGGGGCTCCAATCATTCACACCTGTGCTCAAACCCACGGCCTTCTTCATAACATTCTAGCCATTTGCCACTTCCCGCCTTACTACGTTAGGGTAAATGGAAAGGTCGCCATCTTTTATGATTATATGCATCTGACATTTTCCCCTGAGAAAGCAGGATTCAGCTGAGAATTGCATTTTCCACTCTAGAGACGACACTAATTCACGTGAGGCAGGTGAAATGAAGTCCAGAATAGGCCATTCCATGTTATTTCACACGGTAAGATCTTCATTCATTGTCGAGTGACTAAAATAGAATTTCATCTCATAGTCTCATATTTTCAGCTTTGTTTTGCACCAAATATGGTTAAAACGCTGTATTAATTACATCATGCCAAGAAAAATTTAATGGTCGTTTATTTGTAAAGTTGTCTTGCACAAGGTCATTGCGGGGAAACTGGATCATTTGTGACTGATAAAAGTTCAAAAACTCTTTGCAAAATAGAAAGTTTCTTGTTTTTTGTTTGATGTACTCAAGTAGTCGTTTCTCATGTTCGGTTCTGATAAAAGCTATTTATGTTGCCTGATGGTCGCAGCAAGCATGAAACTCGGAGTAGCAACTTAAAACCGTCCTGTTCTATGAATCAAAACGTAAATGGCATCGAGCACTTTATGACAAGCTGGTAAACTGTTATTCTCGTTGATGTTTTCTATCGTTGATTTGACAAAGAACTTTTTTGTTAGTTTTTTGTAAGTTTTGCAATATTTCATTAATGATGTTATTTTCATTGTAATCTTCTGACATCCAAATAAATACAGCAATGCTTATTCCTTTCACAGGAAGAACGCTTGCTGTATATTTTTGCCGGGCAGCGAGGAAAAGAATTTCTCAGGTTAGAACGTCAAACAATATTGAGATTGATCTCTGTATGACGTATTCATTCACACTGCAAGCATTCTAAAAATAGCTCTAGCAACGATGATGCTTTTTTGAGAAAAAAGCAGTGTAAGCCTGCTTTTCTAATGAAGTTTATTTTCCACTGATTTCTCTAGAAGTGAAAAGGTTTGACAGTTCAATGCTTATTTTTGAGCAAACAAGCATTGCATGAATATTTTTTGTTTTTCTAGTGATTTCTTTACGTACAGCGTGGATACAGGGGAAGTTCGTAATATTTTGGAAAAAGGGGAAAGCAGGCAGAGTAAGTGCTCAATATCATAGCAATATTAGAGATGTTTTCATGATTTTAAATCTTTTTAGAAAATGATGTGGCAGACGGTTGATTATTCTAGTATTCGCAGTTTGGAAAGGGATGTTCACTTTGAGATCTATTAAATGAAAGCACGGCTGAAACGTGTAGTTCAGCAACAAAATATTCTGGAAGGTGTACAATACAATACGATGCGATACAATACAATTCGATGCGATGCAATACAATACAATACAATGCAATACAATGCAATGCAATGCATGCAATACAATGCAATACAATACAATACAATACAATACAATACAATACAATACAATACAATGAATATAATATACAGCATAATACAATATAATTCCATGCAATGCAAGCAATTCAATGCAGTACGAGTTCAGTTTGATGTAATACAATGAGTTCAACATTGCAGGATAATTCAATGTTATGCGAATCAATACGGTGCCAAAAAAGGTTTCCTGAATCAATGTTTTTGAGTTTATAGCTGGTAGTTATTGAGCAATATAACATGAGGTGTTTTTAAAAAATTTAAACTTTTAATTTCAAGATAAATTAAGAATGATTTCCTTTGTAAGGTCCAAATGAGTTCATTTTATATATATTGTTTATGGGCTGTAAGTTTCTGGTTTTCGTTATTTTCAAATTATTTCATAGTTCCAGCCGCTGGTTTTACACAGAGGTCGACGATTGATTCAGAATTGAACGAAATTTACGTTTTATCGGTAAGGTCTCATATACTTAGATAATATTTGTGAAGACTAGAAATTGTCAGTTTCTTTTCAGTTATTGAGGTTGTAAGCTTATTTGATTTTTTGGTAATTGGTTCACGTTTCCCATAAGCATGACTCGAACGTTCGTTGTAATAAAGTATTGATGTAAATTTTTTCCTGCTAGATATTCATTTAGTAATCCTTGGCTTGTTCAATTGCTGCTATCAACAAAATAAAATCAATTAGGTGTTAACCGCTGTAAAATTTGTCGTTTTGATTACCTCATTTATTCAGTGATCTCAAAGCATCCGAAATTGCCATATCCTCGCCACCTTAAAAGTAAATGCCACCTTAAATCTCTGTCACCAATCAAATCGTTGCTAAATTAATTCCCGCAATCGCCTTGAATCCCTGTCACCACCTTAATTGCCTGCCGCCACCTTAATTGCCTGCCGCCACCTTAAATCCCTCCCCCCTCTTTATGTTTCTTGACGTTTGCTTGATATTGTAGCATCTTCCTTTCCGATATATCGTCTGATTCTTATAGTTGTTTCTACTTCAGGGTTTAAGCAAAGATAAGGAAAAAAGGGAAGAAACAGTACGAAACTCTTTTTGGGTGCACGATATTAAACGAGGGAAATGGTAAGAAATTTTTTAAGCTGTTTATCCTGCATTAATGCTCAGTTTTTCTTCATGACAGTTCAGGTATTTAGTTTAATGAACATTCTTTTATTTCTTTTTTGTCACTTTCTGTCTTTGGCAGAAAAAATTAGCAATTCGAACATTTCCTTCATACCCTTTTCAATTTCTTGAAAAAAACGTGAATTCGAATGCGGGAATGTTTAAGCCCTCTTTTATTTGGTACCTTCTGTTAGCACATTTTCAAGTAAATGTGTCAGTGTATGTAAGTAAGTAAATGTAAGTAATCTTTCTGAAACATTTACTGTAATTTAAGTTTTTTGTAGCACATTTCCAGGAGAGACACCCCTAGTCGGTTTATTTGAACCTCTACATAACTGACTTCCATACTCCCTTAAGTGTCTCCCCTAGTTCCATAAAAGGATTTTACTAAGCTTAAATACTGGCAACATTGCAAAGTGATTAAGTCCATTTTTATTCTTTTTCAGGTTCTGCGTTTATCAGAACGAAAACATGGGACAACATTATTGGACAAAGATGCAATATGTTGAACCTTGTCCACGTTTCGCACATCAACTTGTCTATGATTCCGTTAACAAAGTAAATATTTTTCACTATATTCGCTTCGTGATGTACCTTTTCTGCTTTATTTCTACAACACCTTTCCGATCGCCTTTTCTCTTTCAGATTTCTTTTTCCAACTCTTTTCACTAATGAAAATATTTAACAAGACTCTTTATATGTTAGAAGTTTATTTCTTTCAAAGTCATGGTAAAGTTGTATTGGATTTATGCTTGTATGAGCAATACACAAAGTAAACCCATATTGAATTTGCTAGAAGACTTAAGCATGATAACAGATGGCAGTACTGATAGGGAAGCCGGCTTTGGGGGCAGCCCCTGTTCCCAAATGGGACTCTTCTCCATTGCCACTCGTTCAGTCATTGTTAAGTTCTTAACAGTCACTAAGATTCATTTTTCTCAACTTTAATAGATTATTTGTTTCATTTTCTTTTTCGATGATAGACACACTACTTGTTTGGTGGTAATCCTGGAAAGTCTAGTCTTCCAAAAATGCGACTGGATGACTTTTGGATGTTGAAAGTAGGTTATTCCAAAGATAATTTTATAATAGCATGTTGGAAAGTATGTTGAGCATTATTATAGCTTGAGACGTACATGGTTGATAAGGAAAATGCTACTAGATTTGATATTCAACCCAATTCAAAGCAAGCTACCAGGAAGAAAGTTTGGAGTTGTGCCTTCCTTCCTACTTGCTTTTTTGACCCACATCTGTTTAACATTTAAAGTCTTATTGGATCGTGATTTTCCATGACTAAATCTTCGACGAGTATTTGGCGAAAGATAGTCTTTTGTATGTTCACAATCTTTCTTGCATTTTTCCTTCCCGTCCTCAAAAAGTTTCTTTGTAGTTTTTTCGTATGGCCTTTTAAAAAGCTTTTGTATCATGGTTGTGATGTCCTAAATGACAAATTGAAATAAAATAAAACTGTTAAAACTGTGATTGTATTTATGTCATATAGGATCGCAATTTTAAGCAAATTGTCTATTTTGTTTATTTTGCTAGCTTCAAAGGCCTAACCTCGATTATCTGGTTCGACGCTGCAAGTTTATGATAAGAAAACACAGGTATTAGACTTTTATGTAGAGACATGCAGGGAGAATGACTTTGTAATAGTAAATGACGGACATTAAAGAACCACATACACTCGTTAATATATATAGTATCAATTCTTCTGGTTTCATTAATTTTGCCTACCGTAGTAAAGCATTTCATTGGAGGTCATCTTTCACGACAATCTTTCTTATATTAGTTATTTACAGTCTATTAATTTTTTTAGTTCATTGTAGTACAGCCGTATTGTTTTCATATTATGAACCTTTACTGACTGTCCCTTTTTGGGGGCGTCTTCAATTTCCTTACATTCACGATCATAGTTATCTATTTATGTTGTATGACATGGTTGTATATGCTGATATAATTTTGCATACGATGGCAATTACCAATCCCTCTAAGCATCTTCTCTCTAATTTCCAGGTATCGGGAGTTAACCCAGCAAAACAAAATAAAAGCATTGTCATACCTACAGGTATAGATATTATAATGTTCAGGTAATCTATGAAATGCCATCAGTCTTCAATGGGTAATTAATTATTGCCTGTGTCCAAGAACCCTTCAGTCCAACATACACACGTCTCCTCTTGTGCGCCTTTTTACTGTTTTCTTTTTTTGTTAATTTATTCAAGATATGATGATAAAGATACAGTTTTCTAAGTGTTAAAAACTTCAGAATTGCAGAAAAAATAATGTGAAATATAACTGAGAATAAAATTCAGCTTAATGGCCAAAAGTAAAATACACAGACTTACAGCTTCGTACCATCTTTACTGTCGAATTTAGCCTTATATATGGAATATTGATATAAAGTAATTGGGCCTAGCAACTGCTTGATCCCCACCATGCAATGCCTCTCTGACCCAGCCGACATATCGTCTCCAGTTTTTTTCAAGCACTTCTATTATTTTGATACTTCCTTTACACCGCTGCGTGATCATGATTAAATAAACACCGATCTTTTCTGAGAGATTTTGCTTCTTTTTAGACTGAGGTCTCGGAACTAGTTGATCACACGGATACAGCAGAGAGAATGGAGGTTTGTTTGTTTTTGCGTGACATACAGGCAGTTTGTCCGTACAAGTCGCATGTAGCTCGGGAAAACCAATCAACTTACAAATAGCTTGGTCTAAACCAATCAACGTGCAAGAGGCTCGAGCAAAGCCAATCAACGTACAAGTAGCTTGGTCTGAACCAATCAAATTACAGAATAGCTGAATTCATGCCTGCATTAAATCGGCAGTTTTAGCGATTACGCATGCAACTACGATCTATATGCATAAAATGCTTTTAATATTTTTCAAAAAGCTATCTAAGTTTCATTGGTGAAATGTTTGAGACCTCTAATGTTTTTATCCCCATTATCGATCAAAATAGTTCTAATATCAGAATATGTCCACAGAATGATTCACAATCAACTTGCTTTAAAGCCACTCAATATTTTAAAGAAATGCTAATAGTGGTTTATTTGAAGTCCATTAAAAGAACTACTTTGAAACTTGCCCTTTTCGAAATTATCAACTGTTCATTCTTTTATAATATTGTGTAATTATGAAATATTTTACCAGATAACATAGTCCAACAAACAAATTCAGGTGTTACTCGAGTTTATGCAATACACGGCACTTAGCGATTTAAAATTGTTGGTTTGTGTAGACATTGTATTGAGCTTTGAGTCCTTTGTTGAAGTTTTATGATGATGATTATTATCATTGTTTGCAATTTGTCGTCTATTTGCTTATATGTTTTTTCAATTCATAGACATTGAATTCAATTTGAATAATTAGGCCTCTGATTAATAGTTGATTAGATCCTTACACCTCCCGCTAATTATTCACTTCAGTTCCCGCTAAAAGCCGCACTTTTTTCCTTGTTTGGCGTCAGACAGCTGTTGTTTTCTGATTTTCAATTAAGTCATCATTGAGAAACGTTTTATCAACATTTCATACACGGTTTCCATAAATCCATGTGGCTTCATTTTTGGTCCAACGCTTCTTGCGTCGCTAGGCAACTGAGCATTACAGCTTTGAAATGCAGGTTGAAATAAAGTGTATTGCTTGCTAAAATCTGCTCCACAAAAATATTGAGAAAGAAATTGAAAAATTGAGATGGATTTTCTTTGTAAACAAAGTCAGTCTGAAAAGAGTAATCGCCACCAAGTCCTTTTATTAGGAATGTTATGTTTATTCCTAAAACATTTTGATAGTGAGAAAGTCTTAGTCACCAATGTTCTCGTAATTTGAGTGAACAACAGAAAGCTAAGATATTTTAGAATTGAGAAGCTATTTGAGTGTGACCTAAGTCTGCATCTGTTTTCATCAGAAGCAAGAGAAGCGCAGCTGTATTTATTTCGAAATATCTACGCCAGTTCTGCTAGGGGACAGTTATTTTATAGCTCTTTTATATTTCTTTTTTAGTTTGAATCGCTCGCCTCTACGTTATTCTCACCAAAAATATCCTCATCTGATTCAAGTGCATCAAGTGACGATGAAGGTGATTTGCTCAACCTTTTCAGTTATAATTATCATGATTATTATTGTCAAAAAACATCATAAGGTCAACAAAATATGGGACAGCCCAAGCTTTATCCTTTGAACGAATTATTTGCCATCCTCTATTGTCTCATACTAAATCTTTTTTGTTAATATTACATGTAACAATTATTAAATATTTATAACAAGCAAACCATTTGCAAAGTACCTTATCTAGTGATTTTTGTATTTGTCACGCTTAAGAATATAAGAGGAAGGTGTTTCTGTATTTTAACTGGTTTACCACGAAGAATTGCTTTGTTCTCGAAAAACCTTGACGAAGCTTGTTTAAGAACGAACCTGATCTTAGCCGAAGTATGCTAAAGTAGGGTGGCCAGTTCATCTACTTTTAGCCTTATGTAACCTCAGTATTGCCACCTAGAACCCTAGTACCACCCTTTCACTACTTAGTGTAAAGAAGATGGGTGTCTAAAGAATAGATTAAGTCATGATTGGAACTAACGATTTGACACCCACTTGGTAAAGGTTAAAAGAGCGTTTTCAACATAGCAACTTGTTAATTTTTAGGTTACTTTACTTTTCACCGTCTCTCTACTATTGAAGTAAAGTAATGATTGATTCATTTCTACTAATGATATGATTTTTTTGTGAATAACTGGATAACCAGCTAAGTTGTGTATTCAAATACTTTATATTTTGCCAATGCAACTGTCAATGCAACTTAATTTGTAATGTTTACTATGGAAGTATTTAATTTTGCAATCTATCTTCTCATTCATGCAAATTAATAAGCTTACCTACTATCCAAATAGAATAGGTCCTAAAGATACCAAAGAAATTTCAAACATGGAATATTCAGGTTCTGGCAATAATAGTTCGAAGTGAATCCAGATGAGACAGTGATTTCAGAGCCTGTTTTTTTGCAGACGCTTTGATCCAGTTATCAAAAATGTAGATTCAGACTTTTAGATTGAACTATTGAAAGTAGGAGGTTCTATAATAAATATGTTAACCACTTTGTGGCCTTTTGAGAATAAGGCGGCCAGTTATTCAAGACTAGAGTATTTAAGTATAGAATTTCCAGCTCTAACATTCGTGCATTGCGAACTCTTTCGATCTTTTTTAATAAATGATCTTTCCTCGACAGATTTTGAATCTTCCGTCGTTTCTTCTTCTGTACACAAACATCGAGTTGAGGTATTTTGCATTAACAGACGATTTTATCTCTAAGTTTTTAATTGATTTGTTTTTATGCTCAACCTTGAAATGATCTGTATTGCCTGTTTCTTGCACATTTTGCCAATGACCGTTTTCTCGCCCATATTTCAATAGCGTTTATTTTCGTTTTGGGACATACTTGAAACAAGAGCAGTCAAGACAATGCTGCATGCCAGTATTGAAAGATAACCTCACAAGATGCCACAAGTCTCTTTGTTTGCGCCCTTTTTATGTATTTATTCAGAATTCATTATTTCATTTCTTGTTACTTTCAAGAGGGAGTTGCAAATAATTTGTTTGTTGGACTCTGTCGATTCCCTTAAAAAATTGTCGATCAAGCATAAAAGAAAGTCTTTGTTCATTAAAATGTGAATTATTGAAGAGTTAATGCCATACGAAAGCGACGTTTGCATAAATAACTTGCAAAAACCATCTGGAACAGCCAGAATAGAAATGATGTCATAACCAGGGAATTATCTTTCAACATGCTGCTATCAACCGCATTACATGACATAGCAAGTCGAACTTGGAGAGAATAATGTAATATTAATGATATAATATTTCATAGTGCTGTAATGCAATCTTATGATATTTTGCATGGCTGATGGTGAGCCAGATGAATTTAATCATTATTTTCTTTCGGTCTATTATTTTCTCTTCAGTATTTCCTTTATTTTCTTGTAGCTTTTCGATCGTTTGACAGCGTACTTTCCTGAAAATATGGTCCAACCTAAAGGAAACTTAGTAGACCTGATGACTGTATAGGTTTAAAAATTGTCCAGTTAATGTATGGTAGTGATTGTATTGTTTTTTGTGATTGTGCTTTTGTTGAGTTGTCGTTTAATACATTGTACATAAAGCTGTAGAGATATTACATTTGTTAACTGCAATTTTAGAGTGGAACCTTTTGTTACAGAGTGCAACTTGATAAAGTTTGTTTTATTGAATAACTACTACGCGAACTGTATATTGCGACTAAATTTTGTAGTTTAAGTTCAGTTTTCTCTCTATATATGAAATTCCTTTTTAACTCAAAGCCTAGGGTTAATCGATATTGTAGTTCAGGAGCCATCGCCGGTGTCATGTGACTTCAGTGAAAGTCAAGCGACGTATCAGTGAATTGGTTCCGTGACCACTCGCCCAGTTGAACCAGTTAGTGACAGGCAATCGTAGTGCAAGATAAGGCAAACCTTGGGCATGCTAAGAAGTGCAATGGTTTAGTCGCGCGACAAGAGCGATTCATTTGGCAACCATCACTGATATGAGAGAGGTTAAGGGCAACAAAATATGATAAAGTAAAACTTTTCAAAAATATTTTCCCTTTATGAATGAAAGGATTAGGTAGCTTTCCTCTAAACATTTATTTTGAAAGTTGTACAGTTATGGTGCTTTTTTGTCCGGTTGAAACGTGGCCACTTGTAAGGCCAATTTTAACCACCCCAGCTGACACGCCCTTCATCGAAATTATCAGAATTCTTGCCCCACCTAAAAATATGCAAGTCACGATTTATACTCTTTATAATTTAATGATACTATGTCGTGTATAAAACCATTTTTTACCAAGCAACCATCCTCACGCTAAAAGACAATATTAGCAACGCATTTTAAATAACTAACGCATTCATATATAATTTTTATTCTCATTTCGACCATAGGAGTTTATTTTTTTTAATATACTTGAATATTGTTGTAATTCCACAAGACTTTATGCCGGCTTAAAAATATAAAGTATATGTCATATTCTATGGTAGCTTTTTCATCTACCAGCTATCGATGAATGAAACTTTGGATGACGTAGGAAAGGCGATTAAGGCTGTTCATGTACTTCGGAAATGGTATATCATTGGCTAGTAAGGTAAACGATATCTGATTTCAAAATGGGTCCGTTCGCACCCCGTTCTCACTCTCCCTTTGCAACAGAATTTTACCTATATTTAGTCACATAGTCACTTTTGTTAAAAATTTGACGGATATGCACCGCAGGATGTTTTATCCAGTGTCTGCCTTTTGAAGTATCATTGCAAAATTAATTTGTATGTTTAGTATTCTCCTCTTACTTGTCCTCCCAAGCAAGTGACTCACCATTGTAACATTATCCCAAGTAAAGTTATCCGAAGTAATAAGCAATATAATTTTTTGAAGCTTCTATTAGTAAATTTAGTTCTTTTAAATCTTATGTAAACCATGGAATCTTAAGTATGCTCTAATAATAAGCCCATTCGTTAGCCATACTCTAGAATTATTCCTTTGTATAAAGAGGTGCTTTCTGTAATCCCATTCTAGGATGTTTTAAATGTCAAATTCGGTTCAATGAAATATGTTTGAGAAGTTAGACTCGTTGCTTAACATGATTAGTTTTTTTTCAAAAATGGGAAAAGAACAATATGGAAGCTTTCTTAATTGTACTAGTTACAAAGGGTGGCCCTTCATCCCAAACTCTTCTTTGTATAATGTGTTGGCCCGGTTAATGTCGCATAAAAAGATCTGGCCTAATCCCAAAAATGATGTGAATTTTCTTTAGCGTAAAACAGTGTTGTTGTTATGTGTTTGGCTGATATGTCTAGTGTCTTTTTCAAACGTTGTTTTGCTGTTTCTTGTATACGTTAGCTTTAAAAAGAAAACCGTGTTGCCTCGGAAATGATTCGCTTTAATGTTTCTTTTGGTGAGCGTAGTCTTTTGTAGATTGCTTTTAAGTGTGTTTGTCTGGATGGAGTATCATAAACGCAGATGCAAAAACCATGAAGCGTTCATCTCTTTTTCGTGATCTTCAATGAAGCAACAATGTGATTGTCATAGAAAGAGGAGGGGGCTAGAGGGAGAAACTACAGCTCTACTTCAGTGAACATTTCCATTTGGTTTTTGTTCTCGAAGTCATAGATCCGAAGGAGCAACACAGCTTGAGGGCTTTTGGATTGAGGATTTCACCACTGCTGAGAAGTAACCAATTTCTAATTCTTGCTGTTTCGTTGATGATTTTTTCGCGACACTCTTTATCCTTGCATCTCTGTTTTATTTTCTATCAAAAGTATTTAATGAAAACCTATCGCTTGATAATTAGAAACATGAAGAAATTATTGAGATGTGCCTTTCAAGAACCGGTGGTACTTGTGAGCAACATGTGCCAACTAGAATCTTCTCTTGTTATGACGTCACAAGTTCTTTTTGATAACAAGGTTGCTAGCTAGAAACACGAGGCTGTATCGTGGTCAGCGGTTTTTTAAAAGTCAAGGCCAAGCACCGTCATCATCGGTGTTACAGGACCGAACTCGTGCGACTTGAGCGGTTAATTATAAAGCAAAGCTATTGTTAAAGTGTAACTTAGGTCTTAAAATATTCACTGTAAGCCTTCTAGAAGCCTTTGGGCAGCAGCTCGTAGGCTTCCAGCTCTGCCTTCGCGAGAGAGACGAACGCTCATTATAGCCGTTTAGCAGAAGCTCATAATTCGAAACAACGGCCAAAGTCACGGGAATTTATTATTGCATACACCAACGATTATGATAACGAACAGTGATCAATTTGGCTGAAGTCAAAAGGCACGAAGATGAAAATTGACAGGAGTAAAATACGGAAGAGTTCTTCTGACTTGGTAAGGACGCGCGATAAAGTAAGCGAATGGGAAGTCTAATTTGAGTTTAATCTTGCCAAATAGCTCAAAGCCAATTTTTATAGGCCCATAAATGTTTAACTTTGTTTTTCAAAATGGGAAATTTGTTCATACTTTTATCACAAAAGAGTCATATTCCTTGTATTTTGCTGGAAGCTTGCTGGTAAGTTGTATCGAAACGCGCCACGGCTTGTTCAATGGATGGGCGGAGGGGAAATGCTCCCTTTCATTTTCAGCAAAAACAAAAATGTACGAGAAAAGCATTCGGAAGCTGAAAAATATTGTTTTTGCATTTTGTTGCTACCATTTTTATTGTTGAAAGCAAGATGGCTAGCTTTGCAAATCAATGGAGTGAATGCCAAGGGAAAACCCCTGTATCCCACTGGTATAAAAAGGGTTTCTTTCAATCCTATGTAAATACTTGGGCCTAAAATGATACTAGTAGCTAGAAACTAGGGTCAGAAATAATGAGGATAGTCTCATGTTCTATATGAATCAATAGACACAGTTTTATAGCGAGATAAAATTATTGAAATGAACCAAATTTGAGAGTATGTATTCCAAGAATTCATAATTGAAGTTTCTGCATTTATGATACCTGTAGATTGTTGCCATGACCAGAGTTCTGTTGTGGAGGCCTGTATACTTTCTGTATTGACACAGAGTCTAATATTTCTGGATAACTTTCTTCAAGGGACTTTGCAATTCTAGGGGACATGGGAAGTCACCAAATGTTAAGGAATTACTTCACCACTAACTGTGGTAAAAGTTAACATTAAATTAAGTGAATGTTTGACAAGTCTATTTTAGTTCGAGATTGGTAGTGTTAGAACAACTTTCTGCACAATTATGATTTTGAATGCTATTTCTGTGGTTTGATTATTAAGTGTAGTCTTTGTATCAATTTTGTTTGCCTAAATGTGCAGTGGTCAGAGTGCTGATGAGTCATGTAAAGTTTTTTGAATTGTTTAACAATGGTTTTGTTAATTTTGTAAGAAAGGTGCATTAGATGATTAGAAAAAAGAAAAGTCAAAGACAAAATAGGGTTTGCAGAACCTTTTAGAGAGTATAAATGTATGCTGGCCTTTCTAAAATATCTTAAGGGGGAATGGCTGGCAAAAGCAAAAAAAGGCTGGCAAAATGCAGATTTGTATTGTTTGCTAAATAATTTGTCATTTTTTATATCCTTTTTATGTATTTCAAAAATGTTCAAGGTTCGGGCGATTTTTGCTAGTTTGTTTTTTTGTTGTCCCTAAATAATATTTCTCCATCAATGGGATAACATCAAGAAGTGACAACAGGGTAATCAAAAAGGTCTCTCAAGAATAGTGGCAAAAATACCCAAAGACCAATTCTATTAATGAAAACAATTATCACTCTATCAGTCTTTGTCAAGGAAATCATCATGTGTGTGGTAAATTACTTGCATTATTTCTTTCATGCCTGTGATTCACAATCTTACATATCTGACTATTTCAGACCCCATTTACACTTTTCTGTTTAATAACAGAACTAGCAGAGCAAAATCCTATCTGTTCTAGAGTGCTAGTGTCAATGGAAGGGCCAACTGGAATAATTTTGCCATGTGCCAAGCTTGCACATAGCAATGGAAACAGGGTCTCAATTTGCTAAATATAGAGGGTATGAAAGCTCAAAGCAACTGATATCACAGTGCAACTGTGCTTTCATTTCAAAAATATATTTGTCAGAAGATTTGTTGTTTTTCTGGCAAATTTTCCTTACTTTTTATATTCTGAGATGCGTTTTGAAAGGGACAAAAAGGCACTAAAAGCTTTTTTGCCTGAACTTTGTCCTTGATGTTTAATCAATGTGGCAAGATGTTGTAAAATATTTTTTCAATCGATTGGTATAGTTTTTGATATAGTTTGGTATAGTCATATCATGTGAAGCTAAGTTTTTGATTTACAGAGTGCCTTGAGTGCTTGAGTGTTTATGCTGTGTATGTTCCAAGAACAGTGGATGTCACAGGAAAACTACAGGGAAATATTTATTGATAGAGTGGCATAATAGATAAAGGGGGTTCAGAGGGGTGAAACCCCCTATAAAGCTTAACTGCTGTTTTGTCTGAAAACTTCGGTAACATGGTCTATTTTTATCTAAGTGTTACATTTTGAGAGTAAAGTTTTTAAAACTGAATATGGTAATCTCTTCTAATGTTCTGAACCAGATTAGCAATCTTTTTCACTAGGTTATAGTACTTAAAAATTCCTTTTTTCAGAGGAAAAGACAAGAAAAATCTTCCAGTACCGAATCTGTTTGTTATGCCAAGTTTTTGAAAAATTTTTATCGAAAAATCTAAATTGCTCACCCCTCATATGAATTTTTCTATAGGTAATAACCACAAACACCACTGGATTGATAATAACCTTGATCGTCGGAAGATCTTCTTTTTGTGGGTCTATTCCTTCCCTGCCACAGCATTGAAAGAGCAATTTTATCAATTTTTACCCTGAGCATGACACTACCTTATAAATGCCATGTTTCCGAGAGAATAGAGTTCTCAAGTGTCATAAAAAAGAGGTCTCAAGTGTCACAAAAAAACTATTTTTAAAATTTTCTAATTGTTTTCACATATGAGGTTTGATGGGGCCAGAGCTTGTGCTCATCTGGTCTTATCTCAGCCAATTCATAATACCTTTAACTTATTCTGCAGATTTAGAGGTATTTCATGATGCTTTTTTAGGTTATGGGAAAAAGTTTCAAAAATTCTGAAAATGGATTTTTGTGACATCATCACTTGACAACTCTGTTTGAACAAAGCAAAGCAATTAGCCTATTCAAACAAAGCAGTTTCAACAACCCAATCAGCACATCACAATAGGAAGATGAAATGGGCACTATTCAAAGAATGAGCTGATGTTGCTCAGCTTATGAAAAACAAAACTTCAAATATTTTGCATGCTTATTTTTGAGTCCATGTTCGTGGTGCCTCATCATCTGGTTTTATCTTGACTTTTTTGGCTATTGATATTTCCGTACCAAATTTTCCTTGTTAGTTTAAAAATTCCAAAATATAAGAAAACAGTATCTAAGTGTGGCATGTTGTCTTGGCCATTTCTAACAGTGTTACCTTAAACTATTTCTCCATACTAGTATAACAGGTATCAGTTTATTCTTAATATGTCCATTTCACTAGAATCAAAGCCTGTGCAAGCCCTCCATTTTATTTTCCAGCCTTCAGATTGTCAGAAGCTTATAGAGTATCTCCGTGACTGTTCTGAGAGAGAACTCCTGTTGCAGTTGAAAAAGATCAACATATGGTATTTTGGAAAGGTAATGTTCATTCTAGGTATTTTGCAGCATGAAAGTCACAGGTGGAAACATAGTACACATAGTTTAAGTGTTAAGTGTTTCTTTTAAATTTTATCACTTTGAAATTGTGCTGTTAAAATACCTATTTAGTCGAAAGTTTGCTAAAAGATTATAATGCAGTTGGCAAAATGCAGTTTTGATAATATTTTGCTTACTTTCTATATTATTTACTGTTTGGGAGGTTCCTAGGTGCAATTTCTACCTTTCTTTTTATGTCAATATACAATGACAGGAAGTGGTTGCAAATTTTTCAATAACCATTACTGTTTATTTTCAGTGTGAACTGTACCATTGGATTGATGTATTGGACAGATTTGATGAAATCTTGGAAAGTGCTGCGAAGAATGTCGAAGGGAAAGCTTGGATGTTTGTGTATGATACCCTTCCTTCCAACCAAGAGGGTAATATGGTAAGTAAGATTTCTTTATTAATTTGATACATAAGTGCTTCTTGAAATTGTATTTGACAAAAAGGGTATGTATTTATGTCATATGCCAAGGCTATTCTCATGTGAACTTGGATTTCAGTTTATGTCATGCCCTGTCCTTTCTGCATAACTATACTAGCAGAGCTGCCTTTAAGCCAACTCTTGCAATCCTTTAAAGGGTATCTTAAATGATTAAGGGATGCAGAAAGTAGCAACCGCAACATATGGATAAAGAGGCCTCGGCTGGCTCATATCATGCTTCTAGTTAATGACAGTGAATGGGGCCAACTCTGGAAACCTTGGAAGAAGTAGTTGTGGATGATCTTGCTTAAGGAGGCTAATGTCATGAGTTTACACAAAGTATAATGCAGCTGTAGCTGGCCACATCATAAAAGGCACCCCCCAAACGTGCTGCATTGGCAAAACCCCCATCCATATGGACTGTAGGTTGATGATGAATAAAACAGTTCTAATTTCCAATTAAGGATGTGTGTTATCAATTCTCGAAACCCTATCTCTTATGTTTCAGGTGAATAAAAGAGAATTGATTCATCAAGTTCTCAAGTTTACTGCCCTTTTGATTGAGCATTCATATGCAAGGCATCTGTATAATTCTATTGAGGTTAGTGAAACATTAACATTATTGTTAAAAATGTTAAATTTAAGTGAGATTAGGTGTGAACTTATTATAGCTTCTGCAGACACAACAGTTTTTTCTAATGGTTAGCTCTAGGCTGATTCTGTGGACAAACAACAAAAAAGATATCTTTGTTAAGTAAACCCATTTTCTAAAGTGAATTTGATGATATGCTTTTTATATGATTCTCTGTAATGTTTTGACAGATTACAGTCATTAATTGATTTTTGATTTATTCAACAGCACCTTGTTAGTTTGATGGATTGTGGTGATGCTTCAGTTATCTTATCAGTTCTCAATTTGATATATGTATTCAGGTATGCATTTGCCAATTTTAACTCTTGTTTTCAATACAGCAAGCTGTTCTTTTAATCCTAGCATACTAGCCTATTTAAAAGTTTGCAAGGAGAGCAATAGATTCTTGACCATCACATAATCCAGTACTGTTGATGTTTTATTTCTAATTTGCAAGCAAAGTTAGGAACACGAGATTCATTAGTAGATTCTTTAAAAAAGGAAATGTGCAGACAAATTTTACAACAATAATCAAGAGTATATCTATTAAATCTTGAAAATGCTTGAAGATGATAAATTATTCCTTGAACAAGAGAGATGCTAAGGTCTAAGAATGTTAAATCATTGAGGAGAAGTCAATAGATATCTGCAACATCTCTTTTCAGTCAAAGACTAGTTAGCGACATATGGTAATTTGCTATTTGATCATGTTACAGCAAAAGATCAAATTATTTGTCAAGGATGACAAGTGAGAAGAGAAAGTGTTTGCAGCAAAGACTTTTCACATTAGGAGAGGTTTGCCAAATTTATTAATCATATATCTATAGATATTCAAATATATTTTCCTTTCAGCACAGATAAGAATATAAATATATATATATACATTTTAATCAGTTACCAGTATAAAAATCTGTTTCATAATGCTATGTCAGTAGGGTCATATTAACCTTTGTATTTTCAAATTTTTGGTATCAAAATTCTTGCATGGATGTCTAAGGATTTTTAAAGTATATATATTTATTTATTCTTTTTTGTGATTTTTAACTTTCTATTGTCCTATTGGCTATGATAATCTTTCATATGTATAGCAAATAGTGACTATAGTTTGTCAATTTTTCAAGTCCAAATCTTACTAACTAATTTTACAGATAAAGGCAGGTGTATTTAAGCTCATATAAGAAATCGGCTTAATTAAATGCAGCTTAATTTTTACCAAGGCTTTTTGCCTTTTGCTTTGTACCCCTTTTGTGCGAGAGCCTTTATGAAATGGGGCATACTTTTATACTGTTTTCACACATGTAGTCAACTTAAGCATGATAATTGTTTTAGGTTTAGATACAGCAGTCTCTCTATGAATTTTGAATTCTTGATTACTTGACAATCATTAGATGGACAGTTGTTTTTAAAAAATTCTCTGTTTTTACAATCAAAACATTCTTTTTCAAGACATGGGGTGGTGTTGAGGCTGGATATGGTCTAGATCAATGTTGTGGTGCAAAGCAAGATGAGGTACGTTTGTGTTTTATTACATCATTAGCAAATTCATGATATTCAAAGTGGTTGTAAGGGGGGAGAGGGAGTCAGGGCTTCCTTGAAATTGAGGATTATATGTCAGGAAACCTTCAATTATCTGAAATATACCCAATTATGATTGGACCCACTTTGTTAAGTTTTTAATCAAACAGATATTATATATAAATGATATCTATTCGATTAAGCATCTTTAAATAGAAGCAGCTATTATTCTGTAGTGAGTTTATAATGCTTGTCACAAAGCAAAGGTTGACAGACATGTAGAACAACGTGACTTTAATTGGCAACAATCAGCGCCAGCCCTACCCAATGAAGACTTAATTCTGCTAGTTTCTACAAGCTGGTGAGGGGATAAACTTTACAGAAATAGTCCATGATGAAAATATGGTATTAAAGCTAAATGTTTGAAACAGTTCACAGCTGAATTTATAATATGTCATCCATTATTGCACGCAGGTGAATTTTAAGTTTTTATTAATTTTAGTTTTTCAAGGACAGTGGAAACCTCTACTTTGAATGTTACATTGAGGAGACCCCAACAGAAGATGATACAGTTTCTGAGGTTTGGCTTATTGCTTATACACAACATTCCCCAATATTTTCTTTATAAAAAAGCATTGATTTTCTTCTGTTAGACCAGTCTCCATATATAAAAATGATTGGCCGGGAACATTTTTCAAGGATTTTATAAAAGGAGAAGTGCTTGCATAGAAATTTAGTTTGAAGGATGTTTCCAGCTTCCCTTGCAAGGTGGATTTATTTTAGGCGACAGTTAAAAGCCTGTTTTGTAGAGCAATTTTTGTAGAGCTGACACTTAATGTGAAGTGTCAAATGTGAACGCTTTTATAGAGAAATGTTTTTTTATATATATTTCCTTTATCTCAATACCTTAATATTGTCTTCAGCCGTTTTTCACAAAATGGAGCAATGGATGAGATTTTTTTCTTGATTTTGGTGCTTTGATTTTGCTAGGTTTTTTAAACCTGACGTGTGTAATAAATAATTGCATTTTTGTTGTAGACTTTCCCCCAACCAAACAGAATGCATTCAATACATTTGAATAACCTGCAACAGGTGAGTAAAAAAATCAAGCATATATTTTCAAAGTAAATAAATGATAATGTAAATGACATGCCACAGGCAGTCAACTGTGACTTACTTCTGTATGCAGATGACTCCTGTCTTGTATATTTGGAAACAAAAACGTGAATGAAAGAGAAAAATAACTGAACAGAAATTTCATTTCTCTTTGCGATTGGGTTGTTGATAACAAACTAAGCATTCATTTTGGAGAGGAAAAAAACCAAATCGATACTTTTTGGTAGATAGAATAAACATACAGACAGAAAGAAGCTGGACATCAGAAGAGGCGACATCAAGATTAAACAATACACCTCAGTTACATATCTAGGCTGTATTCTTGACAAAGACCTGTCCGGCGAATCAATGGCTACAAGAATCCAAGGCAAAATCAATGGCAGGCTCAGATTTCTTTACAGAAAGCAACATTATTTTGACTTCTCCCTTCGTAGATTACTAGCAGACGCACTAATTCAGTCCCATTTTGACTATGCAAGCAGTGCTTGGTTACCATACTTAAAAAAAGATTAACCAAAAGAATTCAGACAGCTAAAAATAAATGTATCAGGTTTTGTTTGAATCTGAATAACAGAGCACATATAGGAATCAAGGAATTCAAAAATATCAGTTAGCTCCCCACTAAAGATAGATTTGAACAATGTATGACTGCAAAGGTTTCCAATATTTTGATAATTCAGCCCCACCCTACATGTCAGAGATGTTCTTACCAGTTGACCAGAGCAGAATCACTCTAAGATCTAAAGCAAACTGAATCAACTTTTCCGAAAGAAAAACATATGGCAATATTGCCTCTCATATCTTGGTCCCAAAATTTGGAACAATCTACCATCAAAACTAAAATCTGCAAAGAACATCAATAGTTTCAAACATAAGATCAAAGATAAATTCTTTGATGATCTACAAATCAGGAGGATAGCCCCTACATATTCTATTGAAAACCCAAATTCAGCCAACGAAAAGGTTCTAGTTAACATTTTTCCAGAATTACTTTTTCCAAGTTTTGGATACAAAATCCATTTTTCATGAACATATTTCTTTTTTATAACTTTCTTTTGGAGGGACCATTATGGAAACAAGGTTGTGCTAACCTTTTTAATGCTATCAATTCCATTTTTAACCTGGGGTGTTTTTATTCTACGTGTTTAACTTCTATCTGTAAATTCTATATATCTATAATTAGATCTTTGTCTTTTTCTTAATTTTGAATTGTAATTCATTTGATGGCAAAATTATACATACATGCATTCATGGTACAAAAAATATATATGTTGTGAACGCTTAGTGATAACTGCTTGTAATCAGCTCTGTTAATTGGACTTGCACATTGATTTCATGAACTGAGCCCATTTATCGAGTGTAGAATGGAACTCCACCTTGAGTTAGACTGTGTGTCTAACTTCATAATGATCAGAACAACCTAGCCAAGAAAATGAATTATAAGCTTAACACACAGTTGGAGATCTGCCGATGTCTGCAGAAGGAGTTCTCTAAAAATTTTCTCCAGTGAGAACACAGACAATCACAGTTGATTCCATCTGACTTCGTAGGTCATGAGTTTGTTACTCTTTCTAACAGGGGTGCTTCTGCTCACCCTCTTGCCTATCATTCTATTCACTTTTCTAATCACCCTTCTGTTTACCCTTCGGCCCTTCCTTATCCCCACCATTTTGACCACCAGGTTTCCCCTTGTATCTTACTTTCTGGCCACTGTTTTTCCTTTCAAACCGCCTTTCCCCTACACTTCTGATCAACTGCAAACTTACCCTTCTTATTTCGGTCAAGTATTTTCTGAGCTCAGGTGAAGACAATAAATTTCACCACAATAAAACTGTTAACAACTCATATTCAAAGGCTCCTGCTTTTCACAACTAAGTATTTTGTACTTTCTCAGGAGTCGCATTTCGATTTCCTCTCTTATTCTACATTTTACTGTCAGTTCCTTTTGCCAGAATTTGTTCACAATAAAAGGTTCTCGAGCGAAACGTGAAAGCTGAAATAGAATAATTGCCCTATAATTGTGTTTCTATAATTATATTTTATTTTATAAGCTCTATAATTGTGTTTATATAAAGTTTAGAAGCCCTAAACCACCACGCTAAGCCAAAAAACCTGATGAAAAGCCATCTATATATGATGCGCTTTTCTGTAGATTCAATTTTTAGGGCATCCCAGACTTGCTAATACAATGATATTTGACAGCATGTAAATAAGTAACACGGGAGAAGAAGAAGCTCAAAAGAAATAATGCAAATGTATTCCTTTCTCTTCCTTCAGATTTCATCTCATCCTGGGCAAATTATGGAGCAAATTCTTGAAGAGCACAACGTTCCTAAGGATGTTCAGGTTAGAAAGATATCATTTCACGGCTTAGCCTTTTAAGGTTTTTGTTTAGCAAAAGTATCATGACATTTTGCCAATATCTATGTCATTTCCTCAGATGAATAGGAAATTCTGTGAATGCATATGACTTTGACTTTTTGCGTTTTACTTGTCGATGGCTTTTGAGACTCAGAGTTGATAATTTATCCCGTTGATTTTAGATTTCATTGCTATATCGCCTTCGTCTTGCTCATTCAATGCCAGTGCTAGAGAAAAGGCTACAGTTTGTGCAGTTAAGACTGCAAGCCATTTCCATTCTCGGTAAGGAATATCATTTTTATAGTTTGAGTATCCTGGAGATATGTTCCACTTGAGAAACTTTCTTCTCCCCCACCTGCCGGCTTGCAAGTAATAAAAATGCTTGCCTCTTTTGACGTTGCTTTTTCTCAGGGTTTTCAACATTCGAGAAAATCCTCTGGCACATTAGGTGCTAAAACAAAAAAGAATATTAGAAGTTTACAGTACAAAAAAGGCCCTTCCGTCCATTCAAAAGGACTGCGTTCCTGCCACAAAAAAAAGTTCTGTTGTGTATGAATTCACGTGCCAGTGTGATTCTGGCTACGTAGGACGCACCACCCAAAGATTGGAGGATAGGATAAAACAACACGTTCCATCTAATATTAGAAACAAAACACATCCCCAAAGAGAACAGCCACCTCGGTCTTGCAAATCCAAAATTACTAATAAGACCTGCGATTCTGCTATCGGGCAGCATTTGCTAGAAAACCCAGTTTGTGCAAAAAACTATAATGGCGACATGTTTCGGATTATTGGTAAAGCCCGATCGTCGTTCCACCTAGCAGTTTTAGAATCTATCTACATAAGCACGAAAAAACCGCTACTGTGTAGACAAAAGGAGTTCGTTTTCACCTTAGGACTCCACTGTTAACATTCTAATAGGCAAGCGGCACTGATTGGTCAACCTTTACAGTCATGTGCTCGTGTTTCTGATTGGCCTATTTCGATCCACAACTGGGTATATATATTTCATAGCGTAGAGTTTTCGATCTATGTTCTGACGTTTTAAACTCTGAAGAGTGTCAGACGAAAAGCTTTAGTTTACTAAATGTTTGCTTTTTTCAAAGCTATTTACAAGTTTTGTACCACCAAAAGATTGTTTAAAAAAGAATATTTTAATGAGTTATATATTTCTAAATATATTGTTAATTTTTGTATGCTATATCAACCATTTATCTTCAAACCATTTGGTTCTAGTATTTTCTCAGCTACATTTATTCTCTTCTTCTCTAATGAGTAGCAAGCCATCCTTTTGGTCCCCAATTTTTGCTTCGTCAGTGGGGCTAGATATTACAGAAACATCTAATTGCCTGTTGCACAATAATTGTGCTATTATGTTTAATGAATTTATTTTTGTAGTTCTTAAAGTAGTAGTTTAAGGAAAATATTTAATCTGCTTTAATCAAGTAAAGTAAAATCGTTTTGGATCTTCAATCTTTGGTAATGGCCTTTAATTCTTATTGTGATTTTCATCCTTTCCACCTTTTTTTCAGTCTACTCGAATGCAACCGACCAAGTGAACTCGCTTGTGTATGATGGCTTTGTGGAAGAGATTGTCAACACATTGGAACTTCCAGACGATGGAAACAAACTATCGGTAATTTGTTGTATAACGAATCGATGTCTGGATCAGAGGCGGATACTTGGTCAAATATTGGGGGGGGGGGGCAAGTCTATTGTTTTAATAAGATGACGTCACATTTCCCATTGTTTTGGAACAAAGACCATTGGCCTCTAAAGTATTGGAGGGGCGGCCCCCCTCGCCCCCCCAGGTGTCCGCTACTGGTCTGGATATTTCTTATCATATTTATTTGGCTTCTATTTACAGTGGCTGCCTGCGGTGGACAAATTCATTTCTTTTCTTAACCGTTGATACTATTTCCAGATGAAAGAACTGCTTTAACAAATACGTAAATGTTTTGTCTGAGAACTCGAAATGGCACGGAACAGTACTGTGTCTTTGATTCTTGGAAGCTTTCTTTAGCCCTCTTTGGTGTATTCAGAAGAAATATGAATTTGCTTATACCGTATTTGAGTATTTGAGTAAGTACTTGAAGCGTACTTGAGTAACTGGCTTCAAGTTAATCAACTGCAAATGAATTAAAGTCTCTTTCATATGCTTATTTAATTTATCTTTTATCTGTTCATGGTAATTTATCTTTATTCTTTTAAAACTAGGAGGTGAAAGCATCTTGTTTGAAAACACTCACTGCCATTATTCATGTGGATCGAAATCCCAGGTATGGAAATTTTTTTAGTTTGCTAGAAAAGGTCTTTTTACTAGAAAGCTTTCAAAAAGCATACATTGTAAGCTCTTCGAAACTGCGAAATTTCAAGACTGCTAGGAAAAACAAAATTACTTAATGCTTTACAGTGAAACATCCATAAACAGGCACCTAAATGAAACACTTGATCCACATAAAATGGTACTCCAGATAGAGATTCTTTTTGGAGATTTGAGTGTCTCTAATATTTAAATTACAGATATTGTTTGTCCATTGCACATTCATACACGGCCTATGTTTAGCCACGCCAAGTCAAGCAAGCTGATTCTGAGTTAAATTTTCTGTCATTCGATTCGGAACTCTTTAGTCAAAAGTCTGATTATCTATGGCCGAAACTACCTTGAATGTTCAAAATACATTACTTTTAACAGTAGATGCAACACTGCGGTTGTTTTGTGACCGAGGTCATTCTAAGCGTTACTCTTACGTTTTTATTTGCTTTTCCAAGGCTGAATTCAATCATAGAATGCACTGGAGCGTCATCATACCACGGGTTTTTGCCAACGCTTGTCAGAAAATGCATCTCCCACATGACAGGTGTGCATTTTGTCATTTTATTGTTTATTATTGTAACATCACCTACATCTTCTAGAACTTTTTTTATCATTTTGCACCTTTAATTATTTGTCTCCATTCATATGAGATGTTACTATCAATTTTTTACGAATTTAATTAAATCCTTGCTTCTTATGGTTTATGTTAAGTATTGCTTTCCTTGAAAAGCGTTTAGCACATTAAATAGAATCACAATAAATGCTTATAATGTAATGTTTGTATCAAGTCATATTCAACAATGCCCCAAATAGTGCATTTTGATAAGCGCCTTTCAATAGTTTTCAAGCACAAAATCTGTAAATCCGACTTTATCTTGATAAAATAAATTGCTGTTTTGTTTTTTAGATGCAAACAAAGACGATTTTCCGCAACCGTTTTCGACTGCATTGTTCTCTTTCTTGTATCACTTGGCAAGTTATGAATCAGGTATCATGTTACTGAAGCTTAATGCTTCTGATTGTTTGTATACTCTCAACATCTTTTTGATCTGGTACGCTCTAAAAGAATAGCACATCACATTCAGCTGCGGCGTAACACGATACAACTCGACAAGAACCAACACGACTAAACACAGTAAAGCACAACACAAGAAAACAACACAACATAACACAACATAACACAAGACAACACAAGACAACACAACACAACACAACACAACACAACACAACACAACACAACACAACACAACACAACACAACACAACACAACACAACACAACACAACACAACACAACACAACACACAATGACTAACAAGCGATAAAACCAAAATACAACAACGCAACGCAACAACGCAACGATAAAAAACAAGCCAATGGACAAAGAAAAACTGTATTTCTTAGCCATGAATTAGAAATCACGAGGCAACCAAGTTTTGTTATCTGTCACATTTCTGTCTCGTATAAAAAATCCCAAGTATTTTATCAAATGGCCAAGTTACTTTGTACAGTTTTTATAAAGAAATATATTTCACTGAATGTACCTAAGACTTACATCATTTTCAAACATATTTTCAAGGCTGTGAAGCTTTGGTTTCATGTGGTCTCATGGAATCACTGTTGAAGGTTGTTCGCAGGCCTGGCGAGGATGACCATATTACGGTATGTTTGTTATTTCTATCACAAAAAGGAAGTTTTTTCTAAAGTTGCACAGTTGATTAATACTAACGTACCACGACATTCCTATTGTAAATACCTTGAGCTTCATTAATAGACCTTGAGCCTCCCAATGACAGAGATAGTTGTGTCCATTATTGCTTTACTGTGGCCAAAATTCTGTGCAAATAGGAGAAACTGAAGAATCCGGTTAGGATAATCCGATTAATCTCGTGTCATGCACGTCGAGGAGTTTTTGACTACATTAACGAATCACGTGTCGCCTAGGGACAAGAAACGCTCTCCTATGAATGTAACATCTAGAAAAAACATGATTCCTATCCGGATAGTGAGTCGATGTCTTTTCCCAAAATGTCTTTTCTAAAGTCAAGACATTTATTAAAGCTACCACAAAACAACGTAAAGTGCCACTGGTACTAATATGGACTACAAGGCAGTTTCAATCAGCCTTTTGGTAATTTTTCGTAAAGAGGCCTTGCGGTTGTCGAAGGTTCTTGGACAAATGAAACTGGAAAAATTCTTCTAGGTAAAGAAATCCGGGTTTCTTTTCTAAGACAATAATCTGCAAGCCGAAGTAACCCAACCCCCGTCCCTGAAACAAAACAATATAATGCAAAAGGTATGGTTGGAAATATTTTGGTGAACTGGACTTTTCGAGTAATTTCTTTTGCTTACTAATGCTTGCAAGTAGAACACGCTAGAACAAGATGACTAAGTACATTTAACTGTGATGGCTCAATTAGAGGCAATGTGGCGAAACTTCTAGATTCATTCCAGCTACTTCACACGTGATGTTGTATTATCATATTTCAAAATTTTCTTGTAAAACGCTACATGAGGGTACAGTATCTTGCTGTAAAAAACTAGGTTTTAGTTGGGAAACTCTTGTAGTAAGAGTTAATGGAAGCTTGAAACCCAACATATTATTGACTTCTTTGTAGAGAATCTACGGGCCTAAGCTGGAAGGGCCTACTTACTCATTACAGGGATTTTGAGCCATTCTTGGGAAGACTAATAATTGGCGCCTCTAAATACCCATGCCTTCGTTTTAAGTGGGCTAATGATTTTTGATTTATGTATGTAATTTTTATTCTAGTTTGTCACAAGAGCTGTTAGAGTCATCGATCTGATCACAAATTTGGACATGGCCTCCTTCCAAACTCATAGTGGTTTGAGCATTCTTGTCAACAGGCTGAAGGTTTGTATTTTCTACTGGAATGAGGTTGAAAGTTAACTTGAATATGTTTGCAGCGAATAAGAATGGCGTATTGCTATTGCTATAACGTCTGTCTGCTGTTTCCAAGCTTTCCAAAAGCCAATGGATCATTATTGTTTCATTATTTTTATAACATTTTGCATTCTTGGTTACGAAATTGCGATAAAGTTTGGTTGTGTCTCATTCTTTTTTGCATTTTTAGCGCACAAGCGGGGCAAAGCTGTACTTCTTACCCAGTATACTGATACTGTAATCCTCTGTAATATTGCTATGGTATTGATAATACCTTAACCTAAATCATCCCTTAGATTTACTGGAATAAATTTATCTGCAGCCTTTTGAGATAAAGACCCAAAACAAAGATTCTATGATTTTGTTATTTCACCCTATTATACATGTTAACTTTTTACTTATATTTTTTCATTGTATTTATTGTACATCGCTAATTTATAATTGTATGGTTTTATTTTATGGTCTTTCTGAAATAAGGTTTGTTTTTAACTGAAACATACCTTTCAATTGAAGTAAAGTCTCATTTTTTCTTTGAAAGCTTAGGCCAAAATAATGCTTTCATTTTCCAAATGATGGTAACAACATTTTTCTGAAAAAGTACAATTCTCAATGAAGGTGTTGATAATATCAACGTGAGCATTTTAAGGAGGCTATTTTTATTGCAGAATGAAGTAAAAAATTGTAGCAAATATCATGGCCCTATACTGCCAATCGACCTGCCCGGACAAGAGGAAGAACCCGGCCCATCGCAACAGATATCCGACACCTCTGATTCGGCCCAAAGTGAGGGTAACACCGTTGAAGGCTCTGCGGAAACTCAGGCATCAGGAAGTCTGGGAACCAGTGACGTAGATATGAAAGGTATTAGTGCTATAGAAGATTTAATAACGTTCAGTTTGGAGTTAAATAGCCAGTTACTTGAAAGTTTTTGTAGTTTGCATAATGCAGATTTTGGGTACCGCACACAGTTATTTAACCAATGACGTCACTGTAGAATCATTCTTTCTTATATTGGATTATTAAAAAGCCTGAAAATAATAGTTGAAGATATAGTGACTGTGATTAAAATATTGAGAACTACTACCGCCTCCTGGTGTAATAGAATAATGGTCAGAAATGTTTTTAGATGCGAATGTCTCTAGACTGCTTTTGATGTGACTTTGATATATATTAGTAAATAGAAGTTCATTTCAAAGGCCGTTCTCAGACAATCAAAGTGACAGTTATTGCATGGGAAAATTTCTTCAACCTTTCCTTTTACAAAATTTCAAAACTGCACGACAAGCGTTATCTGAAGTTATCTGAAGAATTTTCTTTTAGCCTTTTTCAGAGTATAAAAGGTCTAACAATGATCACGTTTAAGAGTGGCTTCGTTGTCTTCACCTGAATTTACAGCTAATAAGTTTCATCCATTGTATTCTCAGCTGATTTAAAGTGATTTAGTGACGTAGGATGGGTTTTCTGCTCCATAATCGGCTCAGTTTATCGATTATTATAATTTCATATGCATATAGATGATAGGACAGATGTTTATGCCTCGATTATGTACACATACTCTGTCGAGTTGCTAGCTTTCTTTCTGTTCTTTTGATAACTTTCCCATGCATCTCACTCCTCTGCAATTTGCCCCCTCAAATCCACAATGAATCGCTGCCGGTATTACAGAAAACCTTAGTTGCTACAAAAAAGTACATTCCCTAATCCGTAGGAATTCTTTTATTTTATAAATCTTTGATTAAAGATTCAAAACTTTGATTAAAGAGTTTTTTTCTCTTGACAGAAGCATTTCTTACAATTTGAAAATCTGCCGCTGAATCGCCAAAATTCATTCTTTTATTGTAATATTTGAATGTTTTTGAAATGTAGCATAATTTTTACATTTTACAATAATCGTCTTATGCAAATATCTGGAGAATGTAGGCCGCAACTCTGCCTATTACCGTCCCACCTTCTCTCTGATAATGTCCCACTTTGATATACATTTTTCAATTTTTACCTGATTCTGTCCCACTTATTTCTTATGCTGTCTCGCCTCTTGTCTCATGCTGTCCCACCGATTGTCCTATGCTGTCCTACTTTTTGTCTCATGCTGTCCCAACTTCTGTCTGACTGCTTATTCTGTTCAAATTACAGTTTATTTAAATGCAAAACTGATGCTTCTTTACATGATTTCGGGTATCCACCTCTATGACTTTCACTAATTTTTCCCTCCAAATGTTTGATATTGATTCCCCTTGAAAAATTAATCGGTATTTCATCGATCTACACGTCTTTGAGCAATCCTGCATTCGTTCCAGATACAACAGGCTCGAGTAGCTTTGCTGATGGCGGCGTGTCTATTCAGAGGAATCAATGCTTGCCACAAAGAGCGGCATTGTTGAAGTCAATTTTGAACTTCTTGAAAAAGACCATCCCTGATCCAGCCTTTTCTGACCACACAAGATCATTGATGGATGATACATTGCAATACTCGCTGAAACTTGTCATAAGCAATGCGGAATACTATGGAGCATTGCTGTTTCTTTTAGGTATGTCATCTTATTGCAAGATTGATTTGCCATGTACATCTGTGTTTGATTATTTTGCCTGTTTTAAAAGGGGACAAAATATCTGGAAGTGCAACTGTATATTTAGGTAGTTATTTTCATAGTTTTGCGTTACTGTTTAAATTGTACATAGTCAATACACTTCTTGTAGAATATGTATTAAAGGCCTAATAGATAAGATAGAACCAGTGGTGGTAACCCTCTGTTGAATGTCATATGGCTCTGGAGTTTCGAAACCTTTGAAACGGGAGTTTCGAAACCGTCGAAATTGATGTTTCGAAACCTTCGAAACTAGAGTTTCAGAAAAAAGAACATTGTTCGTTAAAGCTTTTCTTCTTGTTCTCTGGTGAATGAAGCAGTTAAAAATGTTACAAAAACGTCTGCTGTATGGACTTCAAGGCCCTGTTCACACGATACCGGATTCATTTCGTATCGGATCGCTTTTCATATCGGATAGGCCTTCTGTTCGCACGATGATGCTTGAATCCGATACGTTGCTGTGAATGTGGAATCGAATCATATCGGATCGCTTTTGAGCTCGTGTGAACGCATGAATCCGATACGGTTTCGCTCCGGAACCTCTGTTTCGAAAAAAAAGCTTCGTTTTCGGGGTTTTTAAAAACAGTTTGGCACTCTTTTCAAGACACAAAATCACAGTGGATCGCAGTTAAAAAATAAATATGCTTCTTGCGATGATGATGAGCTTCACAAAATTAATGCAAAGGAAAATTAGATTGTTTGAAAATTGATGTCGAAATACTCCTTCTTCAAAACAAAACAGCGTATCAGTTCCATCACGTCAAAGAATGCATTCAATCAGAAAAAGAGCAAAACAACGAACAACATTCCACGTTGCTATTCAATTGCTTCAAGACCATGGATTTTTTGGAGCAGTGTTGAAGCGTAGCGTCATCCTATGAACAGGAGTGAATCCGTTACGAAATGAATCCGGTATCGTGTGAACAGAGCTTGATATTCGTATTGGATTGGGTCAGTGAATCCAACATGAAATGAATCTGGTATCGTGTGAACAGGGCCCAAGTATCTCAAAATTGATTGCGAAATCGGCTGATAAAGCTGGCTTATTTTCACAGCAGGCAACAAATCAATTAGCTATCTTGTGGATTGAACATGTGATATGAAGCCGGACCACGTCAGCTTAGCATATTGAGAACTGATCACATGTCAATGAATGAATCATTAAGACATTTACGTACCCAGATAGAAATCAATGACTAGATATTTTCAACTGGAAGTAATTTTTTTCGATTTGCCGTGAACTGATTTACCTAGTGAGATATCTTAGTAAGACTGCCCATTCAAATCGGTTGTGCGGAATGCAGGTTATTTTTAATCCTGTGACGCAACTGTAATCACTTAAAATGTTATTATTCCGCAAGGATAAAAGATCTTTATTTAGAAATACGTAACTCTGTTTTAATTGCAGCCACTGATGTTGTTACTGTGTACATTTTCCACGAGCCATCAATGTTATCATCACTTCAAGAGAGCGGGCTCACTGGAATCGTTTTGAAGTCTCTTATTGTCAAAGATGTAAGTACACATCATTACATCAAAGGTCTACCGGCTTTATATCATTTATGTCTTACCGTATATATCAATTATATTCAGTAAAAGCAGCGGCTTTCCTTTTTTTGTCAGAGAAATTTAGGCTTTTTTTTCTGAAAACATTTTGGCTACAAGGTTCGTATATTTGAATATTTCTTAATATTATTGGACCATAAAGTTAAAGGTGGCTTGGTATGAAATTGTTTCGGGCTATAAGATGATAGTCTTATATTTGTGTTTTCGTACCCATCTTTCAGAATTACAGGTACAAACATGCCTGAATTCTCTCAAGACACTATAGAGTTGCATTAACTGATATGCGTGTTTTTATTGTTGTTTTTTCTCGGTGCGTTGCGGTGCTCCTTATTTCCTGCATTTTAATCGATTTTTTGCCGCAAGAATTCTATCGGAGTCCGTTGAGCAGCCTGCTATAGTAGCCTTTCTTTTATTCGCACACTAAAGACTTGCCCGAATAAACAAAAAAATGAAGGGCTAAACCCCTTCGGCTTCCAAAAACGGCGGCTTCTATTAAGCGGTGGCTGCTAATTTAGAGCGGCTTTTAATTAATGGCAGCTTCGTTTCAAGGAAATGCGGTAACTCTTTTTAAATGCCAATATAATATAGTGATTTCTTTTTATTCGAGAAAAAATTATTTTGTTTATATTTTTTCTTCGCCTTTCATGAATTATAATTTCGATGTATTTTCCTCTTTTCGGGACCAATTATTTGATTTTCACCAGATGATTTTTTGTTTATTAGTTAATTTTGTGATTTTATAATCATATTTCGCATTTAAAGTAGATTCCAAGTTTGCTAGTTTTTGCTTCAACGCTGTAATGTCAATTTGGTTCCACCCTGATTTGTCTACAACGAAATTTGCAACAGTCCCTGTAATCTTCTTAGGATTAACACTAGCCAACTGATAGCAAAAAATCACTTCTAGTTATTTTTCCAGCGTGCAATATGCATTTTGTTACTTCGTTAGTTCCAAACGACACCAAATCTCCTGGAGACGCTTATTCTTGTAAATTTCTTAGTTGTTATAAAGTTACGAATCTATTTAGAGAAAAGGCCCTGAGAAATTGGGGTAGCTGTTCTGGAATGGAAAAATCAATCGTGATAGCATTAGTACCGATTCCGTCTGATCTTAATATTTGTATGCCTTTGAACAATCATCGCTCTGCCTGAAGTATTGAAGAGTTTTAGCTGCGAAATGGCATTGTCAAATTGCAGTTGTTTCGAGTAGCTATTTTGCAATATTGAGGTTTAACCTCTCTTCATTGAACTTTTTGATATGTGATGTTTAACAATATACAGTAAGATTTAAGCACGCTTCTCAGTCCCCAGTGTAGTTATAAAAGACCATTCATTGTCCTTATTTTTATTTAGGTTCCTGCAACGAGAGAGAACCTAGCATCGCTTCCCAACACCCTGAGTGCGCTGTGTCTAAATGCAGCTGGCTTGCGTGCGTTTATATCCTGCAAACCTTTTGAAAGACTTTTCCGAATACTAATAACACCAGAATATCTTCCTGCGATGAAAAGAAGGCGAAGCTCGGATCCTCAAGGTAAAGGATCTTCTTCAGCTATGTTGAAATCTCCTTGAGTTATATTCTGCCAACGACTTTCCTTCATTTAATTAGGTCGCCACTATAGTGAGAACAATTATAATAAGAAAAAATTGAACATGCATTTATAGAGAGCTAAAATCAGGGGCGAACAATGTTTGGGGGGAGGGGGGGGTTGGCAAGTCTTGTTTTGATAAGATGACAGATGACGTCACATTTCCCCATTGTTTTAGAAAAAGACCATTGTACTCCAAAATATTGGGGGTGAACGCCCCCCTCAAAAGGTATCAGTCACTGGCTAAAATCTATGTACATATATTCTAAAGTGCTGAAAAATTAGTGTTAAGAACCGTAAATTACAGCAAGGAAAGCTAAAAATATCATTCGTACTTTAAAATGATTATCAAATAAATATGTTTTTAATCTTGTTTTGAAAGTATGGTCGCTATGAGATCTTTTGATTCTAGGAATTAAACCAATTGCTAGCGTGTTGTTCAAGCAATGGTATGTAGATTCTCTTGTAGGGTAAACTAGTATCCTAATAGAAGTGACTGTTTAAGTGTTAAATATATTTGGAAATGTTTGATTGTTGTTTATGGACTGTTTCTAGGGGATACTGCTATGCATCTGGGTACTGCAATGGATGAGTTGATGAGACACCAACCAACTTTGAAAACTGATGCAATGAAAGCAATTATAAAGGTATTTCACATGTTCAAGCTAATTTTGTGAAGACTTTGCTTGTCCTTTTGCGGTTGTGGCCCTTTTTTACAGTTTCTCTTAAATCGTCTATCACTTGTGTCGCTTTCATTCTCATAGTTTTTCTAGGTCTTTCTTTGTTGGTATTTTCCATCTGCCCGCACACAATGGCGTTTGTTTGAGTTGCATAAGGCTTTTATCATTGAGGCAGAAAAGGAACTCAAGGCATCCAGTTAGAAAGTAACCCCAAAACACTGTTGATAATGATATCTATTTCATGAAAGAGCTTAGCACAGTTTTACTGAAGCCTGTTCTCTTATCAGTGAGTTAATGGTTCAATCGCTGTGCAATAGAAATAGAGACATGCCATTGTAAAGTTGACCAGGATATTTGTATGGTCACCTCATTTGGTGTTTCTACAGTGCTGTTGTCTTTGTTTCTTAAACGCTTTATAGTTCCTGTTGTTGTTGTTGTTGTTGTTGTTGTTGCTGTTGTTGTTGTTAAGGCTTTAGATCGAAGTAACAAGTCCCCAATACTTTTTCGCTCAACGCAACCTTAATACGTGTTTTCTTGTGTAGGTTAGGACTATCCTGTTTGCCCAGTCTAGTCATATTTTTCATATGTATACATACTTTTTCATATATACATTTCCAATATAGACAAATATTATAAAAATGAAAAAAATAGATTAAGATCTTAAACACTACTTAAAAAGCCTCACTTAAGTTCTCAACCTGACTCAAAATGACTAGCAGTTTGTCGTAGTTGGTTATAAAGTTTCAGTAATGTCAATCACTTTATTTGTAGTTATTAAACCAACTGTGTGAAATGGGAGGTGATTCACAGATGATTGCATTTCACCCATACGACAAAAGCAAGCCTGCTAGCAAACAGCCAACCCAGGAGACCGCACCCCAGCCGACCGTTAATGTTGACGATCCAATGTCGGACGAGGACATGGAGGAGGACTTTGGTGCTATTGTCAGTAGAAAACAAGACAAGTCTGCAGAAAAGATTGACGACCTGGCTAAGTATGCAATGCTTCCCTGACCTGTTTATTCTTTTTATGGGTAAAACAAAAAAAGCAATAGTATAGTATGCCTTGATCTATTTCCATCATGACGATGTTTCATAAGATTTCCCACACCTATCGGCGAAGGTTAAGACTCGTTGGCATCGCCAGTGTAGCGCATGTGCGGCCTAGAAAATCTAAGGGCTTCGCAGACTTATTGCCTTCCTTACGATGGTTAACACCAACAGTCCCTCTAAGTTAAGCACAAATCACGATTTGTGTAACTATTTAGCAGGATAAGGTCTAGTCCGTTAACGGAATTAACCAGACAAATAAATGCACCAACTAGGAACGGCCATGCACCACCACTCTGCCTGGACCTGGTGAGTTTCCTATGTTGAGTGACATGAGATGCCTCTTTTTAGTGGAATCATGTGATACCAGAGTTACTATTCGTTGCAGAAGGTGCCTGCTCTATGAGGATTACTTGTAAAGGGCTTTGACTAGAGGGAAGATTCTGCAGATCGTATACATGTCTGTTGTTTGAAAGTTTCTTTTATTGGAAGGTGTTTGTTGTTAATCGTTCCAATGAATATTGAAATGTGGTTTACAGAAGAAGTGGCAAGCACTTTATTAGTTTTTTTTCAATTCCCATTTTAAAGCGAATAAACGGCAAGCGTGCATACAAAACTTTATGTTTCTTAGGCTTTTCTCAGAATTTGGGCTATGTTGTTATGATCAAGTATGTAAACGAGGCTGGTCATTCATAGTAAATACAGAAGCTTACTGCCAATTCATTTAACCATTTTAATTCACTGTGCTTTTGTCTGTAGTTATGTTTAATTGAAGTCTTTTCTCTTTCAGTATATGCATTTTCATTTTTTATCTTCATTTTTCCATAGGCCAGCAAATGAGAAGCGAGAATACGTGCCGTTGCTTGACTATCTTCTGAATGTGGTAAGCACAGTTACTTTGTTACTTCCATTCACATCATTTAGCACCAACTGGTATCCTATAATCTAGAATTTTCTTTTTATGCCCTGTTTTGCCTTGAAATGTATGTTTGAACATATAATGTCGTATCTTTTGTAGATGAAGTTTCTTGAGAACATCCTCAGCAACCAAGGGACCAATGATCATTGTTTTGAGTTTGTCTCTCTTGGGGGCCTGACTCCCTTGCTTGGTTTGTTAAATTTATCCAACATGCCTCTCGAGTTTCCTCTACTTCCTGCTTGCCAGTCAGTTGCAGCCGTGTGCAAGTCAATTGTGGTAAGTTTCGGGGTTTATTCCGGGGCTCTTAGTTGAATTTTGGTTCTTTTAGAGAACTTGCTTTATAGTTTCAGTGCATCAATGAACTTCACATTTTGGAAACCTACATTGTTGGAGTATTTAGTTTGACACTACGATTTCTAATCTGGTCATAAGTTGAAACGCCCACTTTTCTATAGAGGATATCACCTACATTGCATGTAAAACTGGTTCTGCAACATGGGCTAAACTGAAGAAAAAATTAAGCAGAATTTGATACCAAAACCCTAAAGCGTCAGTTGTTGTTCACTGTCGATATCATTCCAACGGTCTTTCAACGGAAATACCTATTACATGATAGAGTAATGTCTTTTGGTGAGGTCTGTGTTACAGACACCGTGCACAAATTCATTGTGCTTTAAAAGGCCAATATATCAGTAGAGTGTACTTTTTTTTAATATATCAGTGGAGTGAAACTAACAAGCTTTTTACGGAGAGTTGCTTGTACAGTCATCTCATTGATAGCGTTACAAATTAATAGCGTTACAGATTACAGTTATCAGACGTAATGCAAATTGTACCCATGAGTATAAGGCTCTGCACTATCTTTTAAGGTTGAACTAATTTCAAAACCTTTACTTGTGCATCGTGTTTTCAGGTGCTCGCACAAGATAACAAGGTCTTCAAAGAAGCATTAGGCCAACTGGACCAGCTTCTTGATCAGCTCTCGCCTCTCTGTCAGACAACACAGAAACGAGGCTCCGTCCTACTTCATGAGTTAGCGTCAAATGATCAGCCTGGTCAGGCAATGCACCGAAAGTCTCAAACGCCACTCCTCCACGCAATGTCAGCTACGCATGCATTCATAAACATGTTTTTGCATATCTGTCGAGGTTCTCAGGTGAGAAGAGCTTTATAGTTTTTGATTAAGTGTTCAGTAGAGTCTAGCCTTTTGAGACTATAAACAAGTTTAAGCCAACGATCTCTTTAAATAGGGTTACTTGATTCTCAAAAAATCTACTAGAGTTTCTTATATGTGCTTTTGTAACAAATCGAGTGTAGTATCAAAAGATTCATCTTTATCACAATACCATGTTTCAACTATTAAGTATATATTTTTAGTCCGAAGTGCGAGCAATGTCATTAAACCAGTGGGGATCTGAGCTCGGGAAAAGAGTACTTGGGAAACTGAGCCGTTTGTATACCTACCTGGTTTGGGAGAGCAGTGTTCTGTTGACTCTTTGCACGCCAAATCTCGCGGATGATGAACAGATTGATTTCGCACGTGACGATCTTGCTAGGCTTATTCCTAAAGATATGAAAGACGGAAAAGGTTGGTCATTTTCAAATTTATACCTCTTGTATTGAGCGTAAGATTATGAACATTTATTTTAAGTGTTTACCAATTTTAATCAGGGCAGGAGGTTTTAAGTTTTTTGGTACTAAAAATGAATTCTGATAATGTAGCGACAATTGGTGGAAAAATTTGATGCTTTATAGGGGGCTATGACCTCTTGCCCCAAATCCATTGTGACGCTGCACTCAATTCTTATTGACAATTCGTTGATTACGCTACGAGGCATCAGTTTTCGAGAAAACAATATATTTTGTCTTTTATGCAGTCATCTACAAAATCCAACCCCAACTAGAGTTGTGAATCAAGGAAAGGCCAAGTTGAAACTCTCAAGTCTCAAGATTTTTCCATGTTCAACCACCCCAGTAGAAAACTCAGAGTTAAAACTCATTATCTGTTTTTTCAATGAATTGCCCACTTGAATTTTATATTGGCCTGAAATTCCTATTGTTTCTATCTTTACACATCCAAGGAAGAGAAAAATAACAATGTCGTAAAATAACAATATTTATCACTGTATATCCTATTGCTATTTATCTTTTACTATGTTGAATGTCATTTTATAATCTCAATTGAAGAAACCCATGACGTTGCAAGTCAGCCCTCATCTTCATCATCTAACAACAAAGCCTCGCTTCCACCATCACGAATAGCGCAGCTGAGGCTCATCAAATGGCTGCTGACATCCTCTTCGCATCTCGGAAGGGCCTTAGCAGAGCTGTTTGGGCTCCTTGTTCATCAATGTGTAGCACCGCAACCAAGAATTCGACGTCACCTCGTAGGACAGAATACTGTCAGTCCTCCTTCGCTTCCTGCTAGGCTCGTTGCTGAGCAGCTTACTAAAGTGCTCATCCAAGGACTGTCATGGGTGTGCCCTGAAGATGTCTCTATACCTAGGTTGAGGTAGGCGAGTTTGTTTCGTGAGTTTTCAGTTTTTTGTACGGGACGAAAATCTCTTTTATGTGTTTTTTATCAGGTTTGTTTGGGATAATATTGCAGATCGATTAATATTCTTTTCAATTTCCTTTTGTGGCCATACGTTTTTTCAGAGAGTAATACATTTTCGTAGACACCTTCCAAGAAAACCCTTTCCGTGCTTTGCTTTCAGTCAGAATTATAGATATGTCCTAACTTTCACATCGTTTTTAACTATAGCTTCTCTTTCGAATTCTATTCTCTTTTGTTTATTTGTTTCTCTTCCGTCCTTCCAAGAACATTTTTTCGACGTCATTCTATGATCAAGATAACTTTTCTCTTTCTCTATATTATCCCAAATCTATTATTATTCTGCCTTGGCATTGAGGTAAGGATAACCGCGGAAGCAAATAGAGCAGGAAGAAAACTGGCGAATGTAAAGGAAATTAGAATCTGCGTCTCCTACCCATCCATGCAGATCTTGGAGAGTTAATGGAGACAATGTCTTTTTTGTTTATCATAAAATCATAATTTCAAGCAATATGTTTTTGCAACACAAAAAATTCTCTACTTACTTATTACATGTTTTAGGTTAACGTTCTATATTTGTTCTGTTGGATTCGCCGCACCGATGCTCTTTGACGAGAAAGAAAGTCCTTACCATCTAATGCTTCAGCAGTTTGATCTCACAGGCGGCCTAGATTGCATAATTGAGTGAGTGTATGAATATTTCCAGTTAGATTGCCCTTTTGAGTGTTTTAAAATGATTTAATTTGACAGGTCTAATTTATGTTGAATAACATAACATAAATTACTAGACGGTATAGGTATAGACATTTTAAAATTGTATAGGGGTGTAAGTAAAGGGTGAAGTCGATATGCTTATATAAAAAACGAGGAAGAGTTTTACTTCTTGAAAGAAAGTCGGGGTTTGTAAACATACGGATAGAAGTGACAACTGGCAACGCCTGTCTGGAATTCCCCCGTAGTGCAGGTTGTTTTTTTTCCTTTGATGAATGTCTGATACACGTTTTAGAATTGAAAGTATTGCTAGACAGGCTCCGAAACAATGCCCATTTAGTGTCAATGTCAATTAAGACTCGTTGCTAACAATGCTGCCCAGGCATCCCATAATGCATTTTCAGACAGTCTTAAATTAATTTTGGTCGATCCGTAGAAGTCTACCGCTATTGTTTGGATCGTCGACTGGACGATTTGCCACACGCGCAAAGGCTTATTGTTAGCAATGAGCCTTAAACTTAATAGTGATTGGAAAATGCTATTTAACTCTCATCTGAAACCATCTCCAGATAGCTAGCTATTGTTGAGCGGGTCTGTTTTCTAAGATTTATAAGGGATTTCTGCTCTAAAGAGCTTCACAGTTGCCTTAATTTCTCCTATACTATTTAGCGAAATTTATTTTAGTGTTATTGATAATATCTTGCACATTTCTGCCCTTTTCAGACGTTTTCAGTGGGTTTTGGAGCAGTATCATCATTTTGATGGCGCTGAGAAACTACCCGAAGGAAGTCATGGTATGTATTCGCAGTAGTATGGCTTTTTGTCATACTATTATCAATGTTTGTATAGAATATAGGCAGTTTATGTTACGTAGCGAGCCTTTTTCTCAAACATATGCACTTGTATTAAGATCGAGAATTAAGAGTGTGATTAAACTTTGCAATTCGTCAATGCTTTCTTTATTTGACTTTGAATTCAGCAAAAATTTTACAGCATGCTTAAGCTTTTCGTTTGACACCCTTCAGAGTATAAAACGTCAGAACAAGGGACGTGACAGAGAAAGAAAATTTATACCCCGTTTAACGATTTTTGTGTCTGTACACTTTGTACAAAAGTTACAGTTTGCCAGTGACCGAGTGACCCCGGTCTATTTTGAAAAAGACCACGCGTAAATGACAGGCAATTATGTAGTCAAATGAAAACGTATGGTGTTTCTCTCCCCTGAGCAGTCACCTTGCTTAAGCAAATAGAAGGTTAATAGGCATAATTTACCTGTAAATAGCGTTATGCAACATTTTATGTGTTGTCTTCCCAGCACATGTCTGTCCTTGATCTCATCTTGACTTATGAATAATGTTTTGCAACATTTTATAAATTGTCTTTCCAGCAACTGCCTGTCCTTAATCTCACCTTGACTTCTACTCTGTTCTTTTAGATGGCACAAACGAATTCTTGGAAAGCTGGCTTCTGTTAATTGAGAAGATGGTGAACGTGAAGGCGGTATTAGAATCATCACATGCACTGCCGACTCAGGCGACAACGCCAGGTTTCATCAAATTTGAGCCAGCTGAATTTCTCGCCAAAACCCAAAAGGTGATTTTCTCTGCTTACACTACTTGTCACTTACTTTTATGATCTACGCGAATTGATCTTCGTATAACCTACCAAAACCTACCAATGTTTCATTCTCCACACGAGTTTAATTTACTATGGAAAGTACCTCTGTGGATAATTTGTTGTTAAGTGTGGATGATGGCAATGATGTTGGAAAGTGCAAAATGGTTTCTGTTTAATACGTATTTTATAGGAAGTGCTAGTAACTGATTACCGTAGCCACAAACACTGAGATCTCTATTTCAGGACTTAACCTCAGATCTTAACTTCAGGACTTAACCTTCAGAACTTCAGTTCTGAACTTCAGATCCAGTTAAAGATATGCATTATTGATTCTTGAAGTCGTTGATGCGCCAATTGTTAGCTGTTGTTGTATCTAGTCTCTGTATTTGATTGTATAGGACACCTCTAATGGATTTATTGTAAGGATATTCTATCAAACTCGACCTTATATTAAACTTGTGTTAATATCTACGCTATTTGGTGTATAGAACAGGACGGTTCTAAGTTGCTACTCCGAGTTTCACGCTTAATGCGATCGTCAGCATTAGATTTTCGCAATAAGCGTGAAACTCAGAGTAGCAACTTTGAACCGTCCTGTTCTATACACCAAATAACGTGTACTGCTCTGCCTGTACAATACCGAGTACTTTATGACAGGCCGGTAAACAGTTATAGTCAATATGTTAACATCTATAATTGAAGGCTAAAGAGATGAAAATCCCTTCATTGCAGCTTGCGTTTGATGCCGTCATGATGCTTTGGGGCCACAAGATACTGAAGCAAACAGGAAACAGCATAGCTGAGAAAGTTTTGAGCATTCTATGCCATATTTTCAAAGGTGAAGCGACGATTCGAGAAAAACTGCATAAACAGGGCGACAAGAAGCAACCAGGAGAATCTGATGACAAGGCTGGTAGCTCAGGAACACCTCTTGCAACATCATCATCAGTTGCTGCATCTGTTGCTCAAAGTTTGATCGAAAGGACACAGCGAAGCATACCTGTCAGTCCAGCATATGTTCAACAGGTATAATCTGCAGTCAATCTGCAATAACAATCGTTACCTTACAGCGTACATATCTAAACAAAAGACTGATTATTGCGTCCCAATCGTTCTGCTAATAAAGCTTTACGGTTGAAGCCCACAGGTCTCCCAATCTTTATAGAACTGGTGTCATGGGTTTTGATGAATAGTCTCGCAACATTTTTTCAGCATGGACTTTTAAATGTAATAGCAATACGGTTTTGCTGAATTAGAACCCCTCCTTCCAGCGGGTGAAGGCAAATTTCATTTAAGACTAAGCTTACAAATCTCTTCCCAGATCACTTATTTGTAGATGAGATGTATGAGGTACAAAACTTGAAGCTTTGAATAATTGCGCGAATATTTAGCAATATCCGACATACACAACATACATAAAAATGTAGAATTTTCTACTTTAAGTGAGTAAAGAATTAAACATCGTGGAACGTTTCTGTTAACTTTGCTCTTCTGAAAAACTGTAGAATTATAAACGAATGACAATATGTACATTATCTTTGAAAATCATTCCAACCCTACGCCACCATTTAACTTATTAGTTGTTTGGCATACTGGAACACCCCCACCCACCCCACCCCACCCAAAATCACAAGATATATTACTAAACTTACAAATGACAGACAAGGACATTAGATTTTGTAAAGGTATCATGTTTCGATGATTAAAGGCTATTTATATATGACTTTCTTTATCAAATAAACTTCTTCATTTTTTTGAATCTCTAGGCCCCTTCGTTATTTGGAATCCCTTTTGCCAGATTTCTAAGAAATCGCCTTTAACATTCATTTTTCTTTACTACAAGCTAAAACTACCCAGAAACCTTAATCATTATGTAGTGTTTTAATAACTTAATTTGAATTAGCTATAATACCTCTTTATTCAGATCGTTGATATGGGGTTTACGGAGGCGCAGGCAAGAGAAGCCCTTCAACATTGCAGAAACAATCTTGTTCAAGCAACTGATCACGTGTTATCACTCGCTGCTCAGCCTCAATTCAATGTTAGTCTCACTTTTCCTTTAGCATTTCAATCAATCACATTGGTTTATTTTATGGCCTCGGTCTTATGTTTCCTAAAGTTTTTGACCTCTCTTTCCTTTCCCCACGATATTGCGTAATGAACTCTACATATTGTTTGTAAATACCTCCGTACTGTCTCAGCTATATTTTTGGGTTTTTTCTAATATCCTTGCTACAAGGTGAGCCTCAAGGCAACACGGAATCCTGAGAGATTCTGTTTTGTTTCAGTCTAGCTGGGATTATCTTACTACTGAGCTGACCTGCAACAAATGCTTCGAAGTTGAATGTGTGATTTGGAATATTGAAAGTGCTTCATTTATGTTATGATCTTTAGCAGTTTTTCTTAAGATATTGCTTATTTTGCAAGGCATTTTCAGCTATTGTTATCATCACAGGATTTGGGAATGCAAGATGATTTGTCCGAAGATGACATGATGAGGAGAGCCATAGCGCTCTCACTCGGAGAGAATATTACAGAGGTACGCATTTTCATGTAGTCGTTTTGAATTTGGTGCGTACTTTATGTACGAACTAGAACATGATCCTAAGACAAGATGGTAAATAATCTGTTTAAATCGTTTGAAATCAAAACTGAACAATCTATTCACTTGCCTAAAATCTTCTTTTGTTTGTTACGTTTGTTTATGGCCACAGTTTGGCTGTGTCTTTCCCCAGATAAGGATTCAATAAGGGTTCAAGTGAATTGATAAGGAACATGCTGGGCCTGAATCGTTTAGTTTTCTCGAGTCAGTGTCCTCAATTTTTTGATTTCGTAAAAAGAATCCTTCTTGTCGTGTATGTGTCTATGTGGTAAGAATACTTAAGTATAGTTTGTAAATTTACATGTGTGAGCCACGGATCTAGAAGTCTATTTGGGGTCAGGAACTCTGCTTCACACTTGTTCACAGATATGTTCATAAGTGTTTTAAATATTTACGGAATAAAACATAATGTAACTCCTTTTATCAGCAACCTGAACCCAAGCCTTCATCCTCCGTGGACACCGCAGCTTCAGACGCTAAGAAACCATCGAAGCTTAAAAAAGTCGAGCCTCATTCGCGCAAGAAGTCAGAGAAACTCGAGACTATTTCAAAAGAGGTTCTGGATAAGTTCACTGAAGGCTTATTACCAGGCTGTCTACAGCTGCTCGTTGACATGCCAGAAACTGTGCACACCATTTATGATTTAATCGTGGCTGTGGCGAACCGGAATGGAGAAAAATGGAGAAATAATGTTCTTGAAACCATTTGCAAAGAGGTAAAGTTATTTTTATTGCATAACATTGCTCATTAAAGATTCTAATTTATGGTGACCCAGGCGCGGGTCTGAGAATTGCATTTTGCAAAGTGGCTGTCGCACTGTGATTCCATTTATGCATCCTGTTAGAGGAGAAATTTCTTTTATTTGGAAAGCTTAGTCGTTTTAAAACTGCAATTAGAGAAATCGACCGACAGTTCACTTGAATCACCTGAAAAAATCCTTGGGGCTTAATGAAGATACAACTGGAAGAGACACCCTTCTTGTGAATGACTGATAGCACATTCAATCGACCAATGAAAAAACAATGAAAACGAGACATTGGCGAAAAGACAATGAAAATATAAATTTTTTGGACTAAAATATTGTTCTGTGGTTTGGTTTTTAATTTATATGGTATCATAGAAAGAGTTTTTAAGTAAATTACATGAAGTTTATTAAAATATTTTTTTTATGACAATTTGAAGATAGTTTTTATAAGCCACCTCCCCTTGAATAAGCCCTCCCCTCGAATAAGCCCTCCTCTTGAATAAGCCCTCTCCTCGAATAGGCCCCCATGTAAAAAGTGCCTAGATCAATGAGCCTCCAGGGGGGCTAATTTGAGGATTTGCTATGCTTCTCGTGACCTTTTTGCTTTGTGTCGCTATTTATTCTCTATTGTCTTTAGGTTCAAAAAAGTGCAAAGAAGCTTGTCAGTGAAGAATCGTCATCACTAGAAACGCGGGAATCGATGTTCTTGAATACAAACCAAGACACGTCGGTGCTTTCAACTAGGCTGCATTTGTTGGTATTGCTAGCACAGGTGCGTATATTGCTAGAGATAATCGACGGATCATGTTGGTTAACAGCCAAAGCTATTTGATGTGCGGCGTAGAAATAGGTTTCTTGTAGAGGCTAATAAAGTTTGGGTACATAGGAACAGTATTCCAAGAAAAACTTTGAATAAGGAAAAGAGCTGTAGGATATGTTATTCAACAAGATCGACAAGAGTAGACTGTGTAAACTGATACGAAATATCCAAGGTTGAAGACAGGCTAAGTAAAACTGCCTCCTCATTTCCTGTAATGGAAATGTAGTGATTCGTCAACATGGGTCAGCACCGCAACTATGTTTGCTTGATTTTTGGTTTTGGAAAGTTTTCAAAACTTTTTAATTAACCAGGGTAAAAACATTTTATCGGCCTCTGTTATCTTTATAAAAATTTGATACAACTGACATATCGCACAATTTTTGATTTTCATAGACTATCTAAGATACTGTAGTTTAAAGAAGTCTTGAAAAATTGATGTAGCAGTGAAAAACCCTATTTTTGGTGGGTTAGAGTCCTTCTTTGTGCATTCGACATCCCTGTGAAGTCCAAGGGGGAAACAGAACGATGATAGTAGTTTTGTTAATGGTATAGAATTATAAAGCTGGAATGTTTTCACCCTATGATTACATAATGTTTTCTACACCCTTTATTTTCAAAGAAAACAAATGATTTGCTCTTGCTAGCAGAATATCCGATCCTAGCATGCGAGAAGGAATCAGGTCTTGCCCCTAAATGTAAGAACATACAATACACTAACAAAAAACGCATTAAAACATAAATCAGAATAACCAAGCCACACAAGCCAGCAAAGCACATCACAATATCACAACAGTATTACAATTTAAATGGTTGTTCTAACACCAAGCAAAAATTTTATTTTGTTAATTTAACAGGAGATGCAATTTCCGGTTGCAATTACCCTACAGAAATGTGACATCATTGGCCTTCTTATAAACTTAATGGAAAGTGCACAGCAGCTTTTAAATGGAATCAGACAAAACAACAAAGAAGTTACTACTCCAAGGTAGTATTCCCTTATTTTCCATTTCAGTTCTTTTTTGTACTTTGTGTACTGTAGCTGTCATTATCCAGGTTTCCCCAAAACCTAACAGTTCCAAAAAATCCCGGAAGCACTTTTTTCTTTTTTTAAAATTTTTCTTATCATTTTTCTGATGCTGAAGTAGCTTAATTTTTGCATATTTTCTTACAAACTTTCACTTTATGTTTATAGCAATATCTGTACTTCACAGTACTTAAGTTTGAAAAATATGATTATCGTCCCCGCCATCATTCTGGGATTTTCCCGAAATACATACGCTCTGGCTTTGAATTTTGCCATTTCTTAATCGATTTCTTGGCATCAGTTCTTCATAGATGCTTGCGCAACTGGCATGTTTAGCGGCAGCTGTCTTGAGAAATTGATTGTGTTTCGGATTTTCATGAAGTACGATATTAGGCCGGTTTTTAAAATATAGTCGCAAAGCATGCCGGTTGCGCAAGAGCCTTTAATTTTTAGTTTGTTTATTTTTAAAATATTTGCAAATGTAGTCCGACCAATCCATTTGTAATGATTTTGAATCGTATCCCTGCTTTTTTTATTCTACGAGATTACTTGACTTTTATTTTAACTAGTTGGCTTGCATCTCTCGTCCTGCTACTGGATCAATACGAAAAATCAGCAGACGCACAGAAGAGAAAAAGTCACAATGTGAGACT